ATGGTTGAAAAATTAAAGGAGGGGCTTTATTGAGTTACGGTATGTATCTTGACGTGACGGTGTACAATGATTACTGATTGTACAGCGCTTAGCTCAGCTGGTAGCGACACGGCACCTCCAGCAATCGGACCACAAGTTCAACTCCTAGAGGTCCCCTCCCCTAATTTCTGAAAAAACCATTTCTTCTCCTTATTTTTCCATTTCTCCATTCATTTCCCATAGTTCTTCCGTCTCACCCAGGATTACTCTTCCAGTTCCATCGACATAATCATTCGTTCCCCCTTTCCTTCTACTCCTACATCATCATCATCATCTGACTGTGTAAAGAAGAAGAAGAAGAAGAAGAAGAAGAAGAAGCTCCTACTTCTTCCTCTTCTTCTCCCTCTGGTGGATAAAAGTATAAAAGAAGATGTGCGGGTTGGAGTTTCCCTTTTCAAGAAAACACATCGATCATTGCCACTCCTTCTTTCCAAAACATTTTCGACATCTCCTTCTCCCCATTTGGCGCGTTTTTCGAAATTTGTCTCTGTAGAGTGGTTTTGGCGCCAAACTGTCGGGAAAGAAGAAGAAGTAGAATAATAATAATAATAATAAGAGAGCAATGAGGTGGATATAATGATGATTCGGAGATTAGCGCATTTCCGGTCGTGGCGCCAGACTGGTGAGGTACGGAACACTAATGGAACAGCTGGGGGTAAAGGGGGAGGAGTCAAGATTTGGAAGTTTTGAGAGATGGAGAAAAGCTGAATTCTATCATAGTTGGATTCAAAGGATTCTGATATTCTTGGATTCTTGGATTCTGAGATTCTGATATTCTAAGATTCTGGAATTCTGAGATTCTGAGATTCTGATATTCTGAGATTCTGAGATTCCGAGATTCTAAGATTCTCAGATTCTGAGATTCTGAGACTCTGAGATATTCAGATTTTAGAAGTTCTGAGGTTCTGAAATTCTAGAGGATTCTGAAATTAAAAAAAACCCCACTTTTAAAGATTTTCTCAGATATTTCCATGGTAGGATCTTCTTCTAGATTTCCAGTCTTTTTTTGAAGTTTCGTAGATTTTAATAAAAATTTATGATTTCATGAAACTTGGAAATCGTCCATTCACTATTTCAAAAAATTGTAAAATCGAAATTTCTGAACTTTCTGAATTTTTTGGGATTCCAGATTTTGAGATGGAAAAAATCAAAATCACCAATTTTTTTGAATTGGAAGTTTTGAAATTTCTGAATCTCTCAAAACTCTGTATTTCGAGATTATTTTTTTTTTTCTTAAATTTGTTGATTAAATTTTACAGATCATCTCAAATTATCCATTTCCTCAACTTCTAAAATTTCAAAAAATTGGAAAATTGGAAATTCCGAACTTTTTAAAATTCCAGATTTTAGAATTTCGCTTTTTTTTGGAAAAATCGGAAATTATAGGAATTTTGAGAAATCTCAGTTCTGCAATTCCAAATTTTGGAGATTCTAAGAATCCTCAATTCTGAAAATCATGAAACTTTTGAAATCTGAAACTTCTGTAAACTGAACATCCTCAGATCTTAGATTCTGAAAACCGGAAGATCTCGAAATTTTAAAATTGAAATCCTGGAATCTGATTATTTTTTGAATTATTGGACTCTGAAACTTTTGAGATCTTGAAATTTGAAAAAAAAAATTTTTTTTACTCATTCCCAATTTTTGATTATATATCCCAGATAAATTCAAACACTTGCAATTGCTAATATCTTAATTATTACACTTTAATTTGCCCTCCTTGCCATCTGATTGACTAACCTCTAGCCTCTTCTCACCAACTCTCCAATCATCATCATCGTAAATCAAACTTTTTCCCCTCTTTTCTCTCTCTCTCTCTCTCTCTCTCTCTCTCTCTCTCTCTCTCTCTCTCTTTTCAAATTGTCAGCTGATTCGAGAAAAAGAGCAAAAATATAATTCCATGTTTCTGTAGATCTGTTTGTCCTGGGGTCCGGACCTCAAATTAATTGGTTTCTCACTTGTCCTACATTTCCTTTTCATTCTTCCTGAAATCTTAATTACCCTCCTCCGCCCAATTATGAAAATTTTTCCCTTTCGTATCAATTACAATGAGCAAACACCTGTTGTTTCCTTTCCGTCTTTCCCCGACCTCTATTTAGAATAATTGGCTTTTGAGGGCAATAAAAAGGAAAAAGAGCCCTTGTTTTTTCAATTCAAATTATCTGGGTTTCTGTGAAAGGTACCAAGAAGTGGTCAGCTGATAAAATATCAAAATCTTAGAAATTGATCTTTACTATTAACGATCACCAATTTCTGTGTGTGAGTGTGTCCGGTGTTCCCGGGTCGCCGACCCTAGCGCAGTCACCGTTGGACCCAAATTCCCTAAACTTTCACAGATAACCCGAAATATCAGCGAGATAATGCCCGACTTTATCGTTTTTTCGAAATTTTGTTCCTGACGTCTTTTGAAGACGTCAATCTATTTCTACAGCGGAAGCTAAGAGGTTGAGCCCCCTGCATAGTGCGTAAACCGACTGGTAATTTGTCAATTGAACGCTTTGTGACATCTTTTACAGGAATCGAGATAGTTTGAGTTAAAAATAGGAGACCCCCGAACTCGGCCTGTAATAATGGGTTCTTAATTTGACAATAATTATCTCGGTTCCTGCAAAATGTATCAAAAATGTTTTTCATAATATCAGTAACATTTTATAAGTTGACTACTTTTTGATATCTTTTACAGGGACTGAGATAGCTTGGGGCAAAATTGTTGGTCGGGAAGAGGGTCACTTAACTTTGACCTAAATTATCTCGTTCTTGTAAACGTTGTCAAACAGTGTTAAACTTGCAAAATACGTAAAATTTTATGATAAACATTTCATCAGTTGACAACTTTTTGATATTTCTCACAGGAATCGAGATAACTTGCCTCAAATTTAGAGCTACATGGTAGCTGGTTCAGTTAAAAGTTCCGGTTTTCAAAATGGTGCTTTTACGGAAAATCACTAAAGTGACAATTTGAAAATAATGGTTTTTATATTTTCCAGCCTGAAAATCCCATTAAGTGAATTTCCGCTCGTTTTTTCAGGATATATTTTTTGGAAGACCGAAAAAAGACATTTTAGAAAAGAAGATGAAAAGTAGTTTTCTGGAAAAATCGAATATCGTTTTTATCGATTTGAAAAATGTCCAAAGAAATGTCAAAAAAACCAAACCGGAAGTTACGATTTTTTGGACATTCCTAAAATCGATAATTTCAAAAAGAAACTAGAAACTTCCGGTTATTCCGAGTTTTTCAAAAAAAAATTATAATCTAAATCTAAATTTTCAAACGGAACAGTATTTCGAAAATTTTGAAAATTTTGAATTTTAATTTCTAAAACCGGAAGAGCTCAGAAAATAGCATATTTAATTAAATGACTAATGGAAAATGGGCGGAGCCAATTTTAGGTTCTATTGAAAATGAATAATCTCTTCAGACTTCAAAAATAAAAAAGATCCAATATAGGAACCCCGCAAGAGCGTACCACTTGAAAACTGGTACTTTTTAAACCAGAAATTTTTCCCTATGCGTTCCTAAAAAATAAAAACCAGCCATCTGTAAATTGCAGCAAACACATCTCAGACCTACGATACAAAAAAAAGATGCGCTCTTACAAGCCCCGCCCCTTTCCTCCGATTGGCCAAAGTGTCACCCTGCCCACGACGCCCCGCCCCCTTCGGATGGGATCGGGGGGAAGAGTCTTCGGACCCTCTTCTCTCCTGTGCGAAGAATGATTTATTACTTTTGATGGTGTCTCTCCCTCTCTTTTTCTCTTTTATGACCCATGTGTTCTCCCTTAAACTTTGGGGTACTCATATCCCTATAGTTTATCTTCTTCTTCTTCTTTTATGATGATGTCGATGATTAGGTGAAAATGATTAGTTTCCCCTATCGGTTTTCCATGGGGGCGCACCTGTCAGTTTTGTATGATTAATTATGCGACGGGGTGGTCCTGGAAATGGTAATTAATTGTATACTTTGGGCAATGAAATATATTGAGACTAATTTAGAGATTTCAGTGATAAGTTAGGCAGTAGACTTTTTGAACATCACAGGATTAAGAATTTTGAGGATCCCTGGATCTTTGGAATTCTAAAATTTTAAGAAATCCTAATTTCTGATAGTGAGCTCAAATATATTTTTAGACAGGATTTTCAGTTTGAAAAAGAACTGAATTATTAAAATTTAGATTCTAGATTTTGTTAGTTCATGGAGAATCTGAAACTTGAACGTTCGATTTTTTTGGTTTTTGTGATTGAGGAACGAACCTGAAACTCTGAAATTCTCTGTATTTTGCAGGAAAAGATCTGGAACTTTGAAAACACTGGTAATAAAATTTTTAGAAAGTTGTGAATTTTCCATTTTAAAAATTCGGGAACTTTGTGAGATGCTGAATCTGACCGGATAGCCAAAAAAGTCATTTTCTCATTCCGAGATTCCCGTGCTTTGAGATTTTAAGATTCTGAGTTTTGAGAAGATTTAAAGAGTTTTAAAGACATTTCACTTATATTTAAAGGTCTCCAACTAAAGCCCCTGCAAACTTATAAAAATCCAGCTCTAACTTTGAGCCAATTCATCTCAGCTTTTGTAAATGGTATCGAAAATTTGTAAACTGATAAAATGCTGCTGAAATTATGGAAAACATTTGCTAGTTGACTACTTTTCGATATCTATTACGAGAGCTGAGATAAATTGGCTCGAAGTTAGATTTCCTTTCGAATTGTGCTAGATTTTTCCAAGTTTCCATATGACTACTTTCCTCGGATTACATGTTTTCTCTTTTTGTCTTTTTTCCTATTACTCGATACACATCATTTGATCTCGCTGTCCATCTCCAAATCCTCAAATTCCCCCCCCCCCCCCCCCCATCTTTCAAACTTTTCTTCGTTTCTTGATTCCTCCACAATCTTCCTTAAAACCGTTTTTTAAAAATTGTTTTTTCCAGTTTTCGAGCCGTAAGTTCTCAAATTCTTACAGAATGAGCTCTGCCGAGTGCTACGGAGCACCACCGCCCAACTACTACTCTGACTGGACGACGCCATCATACTATGCTGGCGCGGCGCCCTCCTACTCCCCAATCAACCATCATCACCATCCAGCAGACATTTGGGCCGCCCATCCATCGAACTACGCCTTGGGAGGAACGGGATCCAACGGGACCATCTCTCCACCGGCTCCTGGCGCCAATGCCAGAGGCTCACCATCATCGAATTCGTCAGTGGAAATGCCAGCAGGGGTGACGGCGTCACAGCATAATACCTACAAATGGATGCACACCAAGAGAGTTCAGAGACCAGTTGGTAAGGGTTTTTTGGTTTTGCAATAGTTCGAAATCCTCTAGCCGCGTAGCTCAACTAATAGGAGCATAGCAATTCCAAGTATTTGGCTGACAGGTTCAATTCCTTGGCTGCCAAAATACCAAGATAATTTGTCAACTGCTCCTTGGCACCATACATTTAAGATCAAATATCTCGCTTAACCATAATATTAGGTTGGCGGGAAAGTCTTTGTCACTTTTTCAATAGTTTATTTCTCAAAGAAAAAATAACCGAATAATTAATTATATTGTCCATCATTATCAACAACATGTCTCCAACGTTCCCTCAATTTATGGATTCCATTGCGGTAGAATCCAGCCGGGCGTGAGGCAAAGTATTGTTTGAGTGCCGCTTCGACCGCTCCACGGGAATTGAAGCTTCTTCCTTCGAAGGCACGTGTCATATCGCCAAATAACCAATAGTCGGAAGGAGCAAGATCAGGAGAATACGGGGGGTGAGGGAGAACATTCCATCCATATCCCATCAGCTCCTGCTTCACTTGTTTCGAAACATGTGGGCGAGCGTTATCATGTTGATAGTACACTTTCTTGTCTTTCAGGGCCGAACGGTCGACTGCTTTCTTGAGGTTTCGTAGTTGAGTAGTGTAGAGGTCTCCAGTTATTGTTTTGCCCTCGGGCAGAAGTTCCCAGTAGATGGGGCCGTCCACTCCCCACCACACAGAGAGCATAACTTTTTTCGGATGAAGGTCGGGTTTGGGGACATCCTGTGGGCTCTCTCCTTCTCCAACCCACTGGGATTTCCTGTGGTGATTATCGTAGAAGACCCACTTCTCATCTCCGGTTATGAGCCGGTCCAGCCATCGATCGCCCGCGTGGAGAGTGAGAAGAGTAATCGAATCGTCGACTCGGCGGTCAAAGTTGGCTTGAGTCAGGTGATGAGGTATGAATTGACCAAAAAGTTTTCTCATTCCAAGAGACTTCAAACCTTCAAGGACTGTGCTATGGTGAACTCCGAATGTGACAGCTAGTTCACGGCTAGATTGAAATGGATCCGATTGCAATGCGTGCTTCAGCTTGTCCAAATCCAACTCACGGGGTCTCCCAGAGCGATCCTTTTCATCGAGCGAGAAGTCATCTTTTTCGAAACGATGGAACCAATTGCGAATAGTATTGTAGTGAGGGGCATGTGTGTTGTACACATTCTTCAAGAAAGTTTCCGAATCCTTCATCGTGGTGTGAGATAGGAAGAGGTAAATCAAAACATGTCTGATGTGAATAGCAGTGGGAACAAACATATCGTTTCAATTACAGATGAGGAGCAGGGAAGGAGATGGGGACTTGTTTATATGGAAGGTTCTTATCACCTTGTTATTCACTAGAGTCGATATCATACACAGCCTCCATATACGAGAACAGTGATTAAACAAACAGAGTGACAAAGACTTTCCCGCCAACCTAATATTACAAAAAAGTTTTCAACTAATAAAATGTGAGTTTCAAAATTCTAAACATTTTATTAGATGAAAATCTTTTGATATCTCTGCTTGGAACCAAGTTAAATGAAGGCAGAGATATGGTTCCAAAAATCGCCAGATTTGGCGCGAAATTCAAATTTCAAGACCTTCAAACTTTACTCCACCATTTCCCCTAGTAATCGATCGATCATTCGTTTTGAGTGACTCTTTTTGAATCGGGCGACACGGAAAAAAGAAAATCAAAGAGACAGACATCGTGTGTATGTCACTTCTTTTGCCTCCCTTTTTCCCCGTTTTTCTCAATTTTCCGACAATTTTCAAAGTCTCGGATATACAAGGGGATCAATCTTCCTCTAATTATTCCCCTCCAAAACATATGTTCCTTTTTTGAAACGAGGTTCACATGGAAATATGGGGTGCGAAATTGGCGAAATTTGCATTTTCTCATCAATCTTTTTTGGGGGATCTACGGGATATAGATGACAAATGGGTTAGGATCCAGCTCTGCTCATGGGAGCCAACTTATTTTGGAATAAATGAAGTTTTAGGAATTAGAAAAAATATATGAATTAGAGTCCCTCTTTTATGTACACCTTCGGACGTTCCCGGTCGCGTCAGCCTATAGCGGAGCTACACCCCAAACTTTGAGCCAGCTTATCTCTTTTTCTGTAAGAGGTATCGAAAAGTTGCCAACAGATAAAATATTTTTGATATTATGATAAAACTTTTATTAGTTAACACCTTCTCAATAGCTTTTACAGGAACCGAGATAATTGGACTCAAAGTCAGGCGCCCTAAATTTTCAGCTCCAATAAGAGAGACGCGGAGAAGTTAGCGCGTCTCTTTCGACTCAAAATTGAAACGAGTGCATCTGTGGGACCAGTAGAGCTAGAGCAATGATTTTTGAACTGTTCTATTGCAAACTTTATTGACTTTTGTATGATACCAAACTTTACTTTTTTTCAACCGGATATTTGCAGCTTGAAATAAAGCTAGAAAAATCCAAATTCAAATTTTTGCAGTTCCAAAAAAGAAGGTGATCGATGAGAATGGCACGAATCGCACCAACTTCACAACACATCAACTCACAGAGCTCGAAAAAGAGTTTCATACGGCGAAATATGTGAATCGGACACGACGGACCGAGATCGCGTCGAATTTGAAATTGCAGGAAGCACAGGTAAGAGAAGACTTTGAGATTTTGAAAAAATTTAATTGATTCTGAAAATGGCCATTTTTTGGTCTGAAATTAGAAAAATTTATCTGAAATTAAGAATTGTAAAGGATATCTGAAGAATCTGAAATTCGAAGATCGTAATATTTTCTGGGTTATCGAAATTCTGAAATCTTTTGAAATTTTCTAGGTTTCAGAATTGGAAAGTTCTGGAAATTTAATACTATTTTAAGAACCTGAAAATCACAACTTCAGGAAATTCAATTCTGAAATGTTCACTTTCTCAGAACTCAAAATTTTAAAAATCTATGAAAACTTAAATTTTGAAATTTCGACATTTTCCCATTCGGAGAGATCCGATGTTACAAGATTTTAAAATGCTGAGCTTTTAAAAGATTAAGAACATTTTTGTTAAGGTTCTTCAAAAAAAAACCATAAGGGTCAAAATAAGATAAAACTGAAAATAAGGGTCATTTTATGTCCTAACTTCGACTCAATTTATCTCGATTCCTGTCAAAGTTATCAAAAAGTTGTTAACTAACAGAATATTACTGATATTATGATGAGCAGTTTTTCATTTGACCACTTTTTGATGCCTTTTACAGAAACCGAGATAAACGGGCTCAAAGTTGGCTCGCGCTCCTAATAGAGACTCAGAGATGTTAGCGCGTCTCGTTTCTCTGCGTCTCTTAGTTAGAGCTACGCGGTACCTTTTGAGAAGCTTTTTTGAGCGCTCGAGGGCTTCGGGACTCTTAATTGTTAGCCTATCCAGAACATTTAATTTTTAAAAACTCAATTTTCATATTCAAATTTTCAAAAATTTGCAGGTCAAAATCTGGTTCCAAAATCGTCGAATGAAGGAAAAGAAGCGCGAAAAGGAAAAGGCTTTTCTGGCTCGAAACTCGTGGGATTCCGCCTCGCCGGGCAGTGTGGAAGACTGCAAAGGATTCAAGTGATTTCTAGAAAATTCATTTTTTTAATTGCATGTTTACCATCTACCCACATCTTCTCAAAATACCTCTCAAGAGCTTTGTTTTTCCAGCTCTAAATGTCTCAAAAAATTTAACGGGTCCTCCTTTTTTTAATGTTTTCCCCCCAACACACAGAATGTGTCTTCTGGAACATTCTATGTATAAAACTTCCCTGAAAAAAATTTCAATAAAAATTTTTCGTTAAAAAAATTCCCCCCGCCCCATGCATGTTCTCTTGATAGTTTTATTATAAAAAATAAATGAAATTCTTCTCTGATGACGTGGTTTTGGGTCTTACTGTACTTCTGTCAACTTCAATTAGACATCAAAAAATCTTAGACATAGACTGAAGGATTACTGTAGCCCCTCCTTTTTGAGAAGGAGAGAAAAAAAGACCGGTTGGTTTTTGACGTCAGTTGTAAGATGGAGATGGACACGAAGAGGAGATTTTATAAGGAGAAAAGAAGAAGTGTTTGTTTATCGTTTTGGTTTGGAGAATAACATGGAAGACTCGTTATCATATAGTTAACGGATTACTGTAGATTAGCCCAAACGGCACTAAGAAGCATATACGTTGGAAAAATCCAAATAATTCAAAAACTAAAAAAGTTGAAGAAAATGTCTAGACTACATATATGTTCAACATAAAATTTTAAACATTTTTGTAGTTAACAACTTTTTAGTAGCTACTGTAGTTTTTGAGTTATGTGTCTTCAAAGTTGCGCGCGCCCTCTGTGGATGGACACTCAGAGAAGCGAGAATGGTCTCGTCGTCTGCGTCTCTCTCCTTGAACTTTAAAGGCGCATATAACTATTTCCATTTTTGACATAAAAAATGAAAGTTAGACAGTTTGAACGAAAATTTTATTAGCATTCGAATGACATAGTAAATGTAGATTAGAGGATTACAGTTGCCGCGTTAGGTGGGGCTGAATTTCCTTTTAATAATCTGAAAATCTGAAAATCGTTCAACCTTTAGTTTTGAACAAATCTGAAACATGAAAATCAGAAAAACTGGAAAAGTTTGGAATTCTGCAATTCTGAAAATTTCTTGAAAACTTTTTTCTACGAATTTGAAAATTTTTAGACCCTAGTACCAAGTTCTACAGTATTATGAATTAATGAGTTTTTCAAAAGGAGATTTTCAAAATTTCAGTATTCTGAAAGTCTTAAAATCTGAAAATATGGGAAATTTTGAAATTCGGAAGTTTCAAGAATGGTGAACTTTATAAATTTTTGGAATCTAGCAGAGATGCTGGATTCTGGATTCCGAAAGTCTAAGATTCTGAAGCATTCCACCGTAAAACCTGTAATAGAAGGGTTCCCATATTGCCAAGTTTGAGCTTATTTTTCTTGGCTTCAATGCAAGATATTAAAAATGTCTCAACTGATAATATGTTTGCAATACTATGATAAACAATTTATCAGTTGACAACTTTTGTATATCTTTGACAAGAATTGAGATAAATTAGTTCAATGTTAAAAGTTAGGGGCTCTGCTATTATAGGTTTTACAGTCATATTCTAAGGATCTTCTGAGGTCATAAAAATTCCAAAACCAGCCAGCTGACTTCTTCTTCCTCCATTCTGCCCCTTCTTTTCCTAATAACCCATAATTTAATAATTATCCTTCTCCCTCCGCCTCTCTTTTCATAATATTCCCGCACACACTTGGCAACAGATGAAGATATTCCCTCCCGAGGAGCCTCCTGGCGGCATTCGAAGCAAAAGACGGGCGGTCCCTTTGATGTACAGTTCAGTTGATAGACACATCCCTCCCAAACACACTTCTCGCGCACTCCAGGGTCAGTGTATATGTTACAACAAGTAGTCGTCAGAAGATGAGACTTCGGGGAGGGTACAATAAATCTTTGAAGATCATAGATGGGGATTTATGAGGTTTTAATTGCAAGGAATCATTGCTGGTTTTTCAGAGATAGCTCTACTGGTTCCAAAGATACGGTCGCTTCAAAAAAAAAGAGATGCAGAGAAACGAGACGCACTAACTTCTCTGCGTCTCTCATGGGAGCGCTAGCGTTGACTAGCTAGCGCTGAGTAGTATCCCAATTTTGAGCTTGTTTATCTCTATTTCTGTAAGAGATATCAAAAAGTGGTCAACTAACAAAATAACCTTTGTATTATTGAAAATATTTTGTTAGTTGACCACTTTTGTATATTTTTCCTGGGAAGTGAGATATATGGACTCAAAGTTGACGATCTTTACAATGAGAAAAAAGGCAACTTGTTCTGGAATGTTTTTTGCGGAATTCAAACAAAAATGAGCAGAAGCCAAAAATGGAAGTATGAAATTTGAAAAAAAAACGGCTCTAATAGAATTAGATCGATACACTAGCTCTACTGGTTTTATAGCTACATAAAGAGACGCAGAGAAACGAGACGCGCTAACTTCTCTGCATCTCTATTAGGAGCGCGAGCGTTGACTGGTGTCCTAACTTTGAGCTTATTTATCTCTATTCCTGTAGCGGATATCAAAAAGTGTTCTACTTAAAAAAAATAGTTACCATAGTATCAATAATATTTTGTTAATTAACTACTTTTTGATATCTTTCACATGAACCGAGATAAATAGACTCGAAGTTGGAGGTCCTCGCACAGTGGGTAACCGAAGAACCTTAACTTCGAGTCAATTTATCTTGATTCTCGTAAGAGATATCAAAAAGCGGTTAACTAATAAAATAATTTTTATACTATGGCAATTATTTTATCAATTGACCAATTTTTGATACCTTTCACGATAACCGAAATAAATGGGCTCAAAGTTGACGGCTTAGAGGCATTTGATTAAAGTGTTCGAAGGATTTTGTTTTTCACATAACCTTCCTGAAAGCTTCTTGGAATGAGGACAACGCCTAAGATACACATAGAAGAATATAAAATAATCAGTACTCAAAGAAGTTTGAGTAAGTGTGCAACGTTCAAGTTTCAGGATCTTGCAGGATCCAGGACAACTTACAGGATAACTTCCGGGATTTCAAGTCAGATGCTCATGACAGTAATGATGGTGGGAGGATTCAGGACAGAGGGATAAGGATGAGGACAACAAATGGTTAACAGGATTCGGAATCAGATGATGTAAGGAACAGTCAACTTCAGTGAGAGATGAGGAATGGGATTTTTTTTTTTTGAATTTGGCGCCATTTTTTGAATGCCTAAGCCTATAATTTTGAGCGCAATATAAGAATTCTGGGGAAAACCACAAAAAGTATGAGATTCGCAAAAACCAGAAAATTGGGGCTCGAAAATTGTACGATATTTATAAATTCAAAAAATTAAGCTTTTTGTAGCCCACAAATCATTTCAGTCTTTTTGAAAGTAAGAAAAAACTTTTCTAGACCCTAAAATAGAAGGGTCACTTTGACCAGATTTATCTCGATCCCTGCAAAAGATATCAAAAAGTGGTCAACTAACAAAATATTTTTGATATTATGATCATTATTTTGCTAGTTGACGATTTTTTGATATCCCTCACAGGATACCGAGATAAATGGGGTCAAAGTTGAGTTAGTCAACGCTCACGCTCAAAAAAAGAGACGCAGGGAAGTTAGCACGTCTCGTTTCTCTGCGTCTCTTCATACAGATTTTACGGGATTTCAAATTTAGGACGCTCGACACCAGGCACGCCGATACTAGGAATGATTATGGATCTTGGGACATCTTGAATTTTGGGACATTGTTCATTTCGAAGGTATCAAAAATGAATTTTCAAAAAAAAATCGAATTTCACAATTTCCAAGGAGGAAATCTTGGAATCACGGATGGTCATGGATCGGATAGCTCGAGGAACTTTGTGAACTTTATTTTTATCTCTTTTTCCTTTTTGTTTTTTTTTCGGTTTCTGATTTTCCGGGGGAGGGGTGTCTGCTTCTGATTTTGACGTCTTCTGATTTTCTGATTTTGGCTTCCGTTTGTCTGGTTCTGATCTTGACGTCTTCTAGTGTTTGTCGTTGTGTCTCTCGTAGTGATGCTTGTCTGTCGGATTTCGATGTCGTCGTAATTCTCGTCTGTCAGCCACAGTTCGAAAGAATGTTTGCGGTCTAGAAATTAAATTTTACATATTTGAAAAATAAATTTGTTCATCGAAAAAAAAAGTTGCAAAATATTCAAAAAATCTCTGAATTCTAAACCAAAAACTATGAAAAAGGTGTGATCTGGAAAAAAAATGATTATACCTGAATAAATTACGTATCCTGGATTATTGGTTTTTTCGCATGCATAAAAAGATTCAAGGGAGAGAAAGCTTACTTGGATACTGTAGATTTTATGACAATTCCTTCAGAATGAGAATTCAGATATAAACTTTCTAAGAGACCCAGAGAAGCTAGACTCTCCAGCTTCATAGCGACTTGAATGGGTCCCTTTCCCTTTGACTCATTTTATCTTGGTTCCTGTAAGAGGTACGAAAAAGTTGTCATCTAACAAAATGTTTAAAATAAAATGGAAATCAATATCTTTTATAGCTACCGAGATAATGTGGCTCAAGAGTGAGGCCCTTCTGTTACACAATGAGTGAGCTCGACCGAGAGGCTCCAACGTTGAATTGAATTATCTCATCTCCTGTAGAAAACATCAGAAAGCAGTTAACTAACAAAATGTTTGTGATATTATGAAAACCATTTTATTAGTTGATAAATTTTTTATAACTTTCACAAGTACCGAGATAATATGGCTCAAAGATGATAGTTGTTTTCTGGGAAGCTAAGATTCCCAGGTTCTCAGAATCTCAGCAATAAAAACTTCATACTTCCTTTTTCACTATAGTGCTAGTGGGCGTATCACATGTATTAGGATTAGAACAATAGCGACATCTTGCAATAATGGGACCATGACCTCATTTTGAACCGGAAGTGGGGGAAAGTGGGGCAATAAAACAATTTCCCGGGAGCAAAAAATGTGACAGTTGTGTTTTTGGGGGAATCGGAATCTAGAGAATCTAGGTAGAAAAGAAATGAGGGATCAAAAATTGTACTAAAATAAATCCTACTTTTTTGGAGAGACTGAACTTATACGCTGTTTATAATAGATGGACCCCAACTTTAAGCCTATATATCTCTGTTTCTGTGAAAGATATCAATAATTGAGCAACTGACAAATTTTTTTATGTTATGGTAAACATTTTGTTAGTTGACCGCTTTTTGATATCTTCTACAGAAAGCTAGATAAATCAACTCAAAGTTGGGTTAGTCGACGCCTGCGCGCTCCCCAGAGAGAAGTTAGCGCGTCTCGTTTCTCTGCGTCTCTTTTTTCAGTTTTCTAGCTCTCTTCGATCTACCAAAACTAGACTTCCGGTATGGATTCACTGTTACCTACATTTGAACCATCTACAGTAATCCACTTAAGATTACACTCATATGCTTATTTACACACTTTTCCCCCTCTCAACGTCTTCATCTACTAGATGATATCCCGACAAAGCGTGCCATGTTGGTATTGCGCAAGAGCACAAAGACTACGATGTATATACAGTGTTGGTTTACGCAATGTGATATGTGGGGTAAAGCGGTACAGTAGAAGTTTATGATCGATGGGACAAGTTCAAAAAAGTTTGCCGACTACGTAAGCGGAGAACAGTAGGCTTTCGAGGAATGGGATTGGGGGATTTGAGGCTAATAGTCTGAAATAGTGCTCTAACGAACCTTGTGGGAATTTTTTCGTCTGCTCAAATTGTAGCTAAAAACCGATAAGTCAAAAACAGCTACTGTAAACACTCTAAAAGAAGGTCACCCTATACTTGCATTTTCAGTTTAATTATCTCATTCCCTGTAAGATATTTCAAAAAGTGATGAACTAAGAAAATGTTTATCATAATATCACCAACATTTTATCAGTCGACACATTTTTGATATCTTTTACAGTAATCGAGATGAATCGACTCAAAGTTAGGATAGTCAACGCCCGCGCGCTCCCATGAGAGAGAACCGCAGAAAAGTCAGTGCGTCTCGTTTCTCTGCGTCTCTTTCAAGTCAAATTAAAAATAAATGTTTCTATGGGACTAAAAGAGCTAGAGAATTGATTTTTGGACCATTTGATATGAAGCTTTCCTTTGATACTAAAATTTAAACCACACAAACAGATCTCTACATTACTTCCTTCCGCTGAAAGAGAGTTATAAAAACTTGAAAACTCTAGAATCTAGAGCTAAGAATAGTCAACAAAAAGAGCACTTCCACATTTCTGCTCTTTTCTTTTTGAACCATCAATCTTGGTATCATCACCCAGATCAATCCATCATACCTCCTTCGGTGCTAATTGTCTCAACATCTTTATCGTCATGTATACACCAGAAACGAAAAGAAGAAGACTCCTCTGCCAAGATGCTCCAGAAATTTCCTTGATCGACAATGATGGATCACCCAGGAGTTTGGAAGTTGGGAAGGCGAAGAAGACGGCTGTCTTGTGTCTCTGTTGTTGGCAAAACTGACGATAACGGATGGGTTTGTTGGGGATGCCATCACTTGGGAGGCTCTATTATGATTACTGTGATTGTCAACATCCGGAGCATGTTGCTCCATCTTGTTCAACGCTGATCGATTGAGAGGAAAAATGAATGATGGAAGAGGGAGGGACCGAAGTGTCGACAGGTTGCTCTTCCTAGGTTTGACCTAATTTATTTCGCTATCTGTGGAAGATGTTAAGAAGTGGTCAACTAAAAAAATTTTTTTGAGATTGTGATAAACAGTTTATTAGTTGATCACTTTTTGATAACTGTCCCAGGAAGCGAGATAAATTGAGTCAAAGTTTGGTCTCTATTTTTCTGGGAAAAGATCTCAAAAGTATTTTAAACATGATAGAAATGTTTACCGTAAAATTTCACACATTTTGTCAGCTTTCGATGTTTTTTTTATCTAAAACAGCTCCAAGAGTGAGCGCGAGGGAGAGAGACGCAGAGAAGTTATCGCGTCTCGTTTCTCTGCGTCTCCTTTCGCTCGAATTTAAAACGAGTGTATCTTTTGAACCAAGGGGGCTAGAAAATTGATTTTTAGATTAATAAATTGCAAATTTTATCGGCTTTCGTTTGATATTAAAATCTCTACAGGGAAACACCGAAAGTCAAGGTTGAAATTGAAATTTTTGATACGGATTTTTCCATATTTTAATACAAAAAAGCCAACAAAATTTTCTATCGATTGGTTTAAAAATCATCTCTCTAGCGCTATTGGTTCCGGAGATACACTCGTTTTTATTTTGACCTAAAAGAGACGCAGAGAAACGAGACACGCTGACTTCTCTGTGTCTCTCCACGAGTGGTTACTTAAAGAGCGCGTATCTAGGTTGCTTAGTTTTGAGCTTTTTTATCTCAGTAACTAAGACAGCAAATAAGGATTCTCTCAATAATTCATATCACAAAGTAAAAAAATTTCAAAAAATGTTCCTAAAACAAGTTCAAAAGTGCATGTACATGGAAAAGTACATGGAGGCAATAGTGAGGATCATCGAAGATACTGTAGTTTTGAAATATCCTGAGTTACAGAAGTCTCCTCGACAACAACATGAACCACGTCCATTGGTATCCTCCGTACATCCACTGCTCTGAAAAGTTGGAGTTAAAATTATTGGAACTATTTAGAAATTGTAAATCATACGGTGCATGCATTGTTCGCACATCCATAACTGTTCGATTGAGAGTTTCTGTGTTTTTGGTAATTTCTGAAATGTTGAAATGAGTTCAGAAAGACTGTAAACACTCTAATAGAAGCACCCGTACCGTTAACTTTGTGCTCAATTATCTAGATTTCTGTGAAAGATATCAAAAAGTTGCCAACTAATAAAATGTTTGTCTTAATATCACCAACATTTTATTAGTTTACCACTTTTTGATACCTCTAACAGAAATTGAGATATGATAGGCACAACGTTTACGTTCTGGCTGTCACTCTATTGGAGTTTTTATGGTAAGTTACCTCATACAAAATGATCCAGGACAACTTATTGATGTTATCATTTTGTTCGCACTAGAGTAATCCACGGTTTCATTAGCGTTTTGTGTAGAAATACCTGAAATGTGAAAATTACTTCTGAACAAAGCTTAGCATGGTAGTTACCATAATAACATCGAAGTTGAGCTGAGGTTACAGTAACCAAAGCAGCGAAAATGAAGAAATGGACAATCTTGTTGTTCAGGATCATTTTTCAATTCTGCTTGTAACCAACAGAACTCATTGGCTCCATTTTTTCTTTCACCTCCCCTCACTCTCTCGCCGATGACGTCACCGCTCGGAGGGGACACGAATGTCTGCGTCTCCTTTGTTTACACAGTGTCTCGTCCGTATGTTGAAAATTAATTGTTATCAGAGGTTTCCGATGTCCGAGGAAAAAAATTCGCTTCCCGTGCACCTCTGGACTGAAGTGTCGAAAGGGTTGCTGAGGAATAAGACAAATGCACAATACTCCAAATAAAGAGAATGTACTAGATGTCAGCATCTGGGAATTTGTATATCAAACGAAAGGTCGTAAAATTAGCTATCGAATAATCTCAAAATTAATTCTCTAGCTCTACTGGTTCCGCAGATACATTGATTTTAATTGGCAAGCACTAAGAGACGCAGAGAAACAAGACACACCGACTTCTCTGCGTCTCTCTTGAAGAGTTGGCTATCCCAACTTTGAGCCGATTTATCCTGGTTCTCAAAAGAGATATCAAAAACTTATCAACTGATAAAATTTTTGTTATATTACCACCAACATTTTATTAGTTGGCAAAAAATTGGTATCACTCATGAGAACTGAGATAATTGAGCTCAAAGTGCTGATAACATTGTTTTTGAATTTTCTGTTTCGCATCTTTTAAACAATATTTCTGATCTTTGATCCCATCTAAAGAATCATAAAAATTTATGGGGTCTAGCAATCTATTTGACACCCAGAAGTGTAATTTAGTATTAATGTTCAAAAAATGGAGAGAGTAGTCCAGAAAAAAAAGGCCCCCAAAGTGAGCGTTTTTCTTTTTTTTTCTGTCTAATAAGCCAGGAAAGTCATTATTCTCTTTTCGTCTCTTTTTTTTTTCGTTCCTTTTTCCCTTTTTTTGTCCAAAAAAAGGAAATTTAACTGGAAAATGGGTGCCTATTTTCGGTGAGAAAGAAGAAAAGCTATCCTAACTATTCTGCAAGAAAATAAATCGAAAAATGAAGCTGATTTTTCTAGTTTTCATATTCTCAAACAGATTTTCTTGTCAAGGTAAGCAAAGCTATTTTGTCTCATTTTCAAAAAATTAAGAAAAACTTTTTTTTCAGGCAACAACACTCTAGAAATCGATCTGATAAATTATGAAGAGAGAAATGAGCGGACATTGGCAAAATTTCTATTAGATGACTATTATAAAAACGCACGACCTGTGAGAAACTCATCGAGTATTCTTAATGTGACAGCGCTGATACAGATTTATAATTTGGTTGAAGTGGTGAGTTAGGTTTTTAAAGTCGCATAACTCGCTTGATTTTCGGAATTTAGATTTGATTTAAAAAGTAAAATGTAGATCTTCAGGAGATCTACAAAATGATACTAAATTTTGTTATATTTGGATGCCGAGTGTTGACTCAGAAGTGGTGAAAGGCGGATAGGCGACGTCGACCTTGTTGGCGCCGAAAATGCCTCAACTACGCGCCGGCTCTTAACTCCGCTCAAACTGAGCATTTCTCTACGAATTTATTATTAAAATGTAGCTATTGACGAGATCTACAAAATTATATTAAATTTAATTATATTTGAATGCCGAGTGTTAACTCAGAGTGGTGAAAATGCGGCTAGCCTATAGGCGAGATCGGCGCCGACCTCGTTGCTGCCAACTTGGATCTTACTTCGCGCCGCCGCATAACTCGGCTCAAACTAAGAATTTCTTATTAAAATAAACGTCGTATGAAAGAACTTGATACGATCTACAAAACGGTAACACATTTGACTATGTTAGATTTTTGACTTCTGACCTAGGCGCCGCAAAATAGCCTAGTTGTCAATATTTACTAGGGAAGCGCTTGCGACTTCTGGTGCAAAACTTGATAATTAATTGAAACCAAATTATATATGATTCTGTAGGTCTTGTCGAGTTCTACGATTTAATGTTTAAATTTAACAAAAATTCTAAGTTTGAGCAGAGTTACGAGCCAGGAAAGCGCTGGATGCCTCTCTCTTGGAGCGCGAGAGTTTACTAACCCAACTTTGAGTCAATTTATCTTGGTTCCTGTGAAAGATATCAAACTTTTGTTAATTAGTAAAATGTTTACTATTTTATCACCAACATTTTTCAGTTAGCAATTTTCTCATATCTCTGACAGGAACTGAAATAAACAGGATCAATCTTTGGATTCTTCGATCACAGGGACCTTAACTTTGACACAACTTATCTCGGTTCCTATAAAAGATATCAAAAATTTGTAAACAAACAAAATGCTGTTCATAATATTATCAACATTTTATCAGTAGACCCATTTTCCATATCTCGACTAGAAACCGAGATAATTGAGCTCAATTAAAAATTCCAGAACGAGAAAAACGAGCAAATCAAACTACTTTTATGGTTTCCTCAAAGTTGGCGGGATGAATATTTAACATGGGATCCGGAAGAATGGAATGGAATTGAGAAGATTATAATTCCAAAGGCCATGATTTGGGTCCCAGATGGCAATATTTTTAATACGTAAGAAGGGACCGAAATTTGGATTTTTAAAACTTTGCAAAAATTTTTAGCGTAGCGGAAGCAGAAACTATGGAGAATCACAATGCTCGAGTACGGTACGACGGAAAAGTTGAGGTGGATTTTAATAAGGTAGCCTGAAACTTAGACTACCGTACCCCCGACCTATTCTTCCAGCTCGTCGACCTGACTTGCCCAATGTCAGTTTCCTCATTTCCATTTGACAGTCAATTATGTGCTCTTCAATTTGGCTCGTGGTCCTACCCGAATAATGTGCTCAGTTTTAATGTCATGGGTGCTTGGGTCCATGAGAAAGAAGTGAGTGCTCAGCGGAGCATAGTTGCTTGACGTTAATTTCTTTTTTCGATTTTCAGAAAAACTCCGAATGGGACATTATCGATTTCAATGCCACGAAACTAGTCAGAGGGTATAATGACACTCTAGGCGGAGCCAATGTCTATGAAGAGATTTTCTATTACTTGGTAAGAAAACATTTCCGAAACAAAACAATTGAAAATTCAATTTTTCAGGAACTCAAACGAAAACCCCATTACTACATCGTAGTAATCATAATTCCTACATTTGCAATAGTTACAGTATCCAATATTGGTTTATTCACCCCGCATGGCGTTCATGGTGATCGCGAGGAGCATGTAAGTGTTGCGGCCAGCAACTTGCTGGCCTAGAAAAAGCTAGGCCACCAACAACATTTTCAGGTATCATTGGGTCTCACCACAATGCTCACTATGGCTGTGATATTGGATATGGTCACCGGACAAATGCCGAAGAGTAGTGAAGGAATTCCGTTGTTAGGTACTGTAAGCCTCTCACTGTGACCCGATATATCTCAGTTCTCGTAAAAGATATTGAGAAACGGTCAACTGACAAAATGTTGGTGATATTATGCTTAACATTTTGTTAGTTAACAATTTTTGGATAGCCCTCACAGGAACTGAGATAATCGGGGTCAAAGATCGGAAACATCAAACAAAAAATTAAATTTTCAGAATTGTTGTAATTTTTGGGTACAACGGAAGGTTATAAAATTTTCTATCGAACGGACTAAAAATCAATTCTCTAGCTTTGCTGGTTCCGAAGATACAGTAGTTTTAGTTTTGAAACAAGATAGATGCAGAGAAACGAGACGCGCTAACTTCTCTGCGTCTCTATTGAGGGCGGGGACTTCAAGAGCGCGTATCTAGAGAACCTAACTTTGAGCTCAGTTATCTCGTTTCCTGTAAATGATATCAAAACACGATCAACTAATAAAATGTTGCTGATATTATGTTAAACATTTTTTTAGTTTCAATTTTTTGATAATTCTGACAGGAACAGAGATAATTTGGGTGATAGAAATACCTCTAAACTTGACTCAATTTATCACAGTTCCCGTGAAAGATATTAAAAATGGTTATCTGATAAAAATTAGTGATAAAAAGATAATCATTTTCTTAGTTGATCTGTCTCTGATAGCTATCATACTAAGCAAGTTAAATTGGGTCAAAGTTAGGGGAACCCTTTTATTAGAGGCCAGGTTTGAGGCCGCCTAGCTCAGCCATGGATTGCGTGACGTTTCATCAAAATTTAAGTTTTTTTCAGGAAAATATGTGCTCATCGAGTTTGCAATATCAATAATTGCGGTTTTGGTGTCAATTCTAGTTATTTTTGCGCATGAAAGAATGCTCTACCTCGAAAAACTCCGCCAATCTGGATTTTTCGAATCTTCGAGAAGAGCTACTTTCAAAAAGTCCCATTGGCCGAAATGGAACAAGATGATCTACTTTCAAAGCCACGAGACTCAAAAGAAGAGCTGAAACTGTGTCTGGAAAAAGTTCGAAACTATTTGGAAGATTTGGAAACTCAGGAGAGCAATGAGAAAATCTGGCAGCGATTTTTTTCGTTGACCGACATTTTGTGTGGTTCTTTGTTTAGTGTGATTAATGTTCTTGTTACTTTTTATATGTTTATTGATTATTTATGAAAGTTTATCGATTAGTTCAAGCAATCTCGAGTCTCCCCGGAGAACTTTCCAGCCAACTGAAGTGTTCCAAAGTCGAAGATTTTCTTTGGCTCCGATCCGCTGGCAATGTATTGACTTGGAATGTAAACTGTGATTTTTCTTTGACAAGGTTTGATTCCGTCGTCGCAGTCGTGATAGATATTGATTTTTGGCTCGATTGAGGTGAACTCGTCGGCCGATCCTTTAAGGTCGAATTTTCCGGAGGAGTCGGTTTTTCCAGAGGCCATTAACTCGTCAGGGGATACTGGAAATTAGAAATTGAATATTTTTCTAGTTTGTAGTTTCTAAAAAAGTTATATGTTTAGCGAGATATATCGTCATTCCCACTACATATACCGCTATTTGCTTAAGCTTTAAGGTCTTCTAAATTCAAGCTCAATTATCCCGATTCCTATAAAAGATATGAAAAACTTGTCAACTGATAAAATGTTAATTTTGTTGAGAACTACATTTTATCCTTGCGATTAAACTAATATTTTAAATTTGAGCTGAGTTATATTTCTCGGAATTGTAGGGCTGAGACAGCGTATCTCAGTCGGTCGCGGCGCTGCTCTTCCTTTGAGCCCAATTATCTCGCTTCCTATAAAAGCTATCAAAAAGTAGTCAACTGATAAATTGTTTATCATACTATCAGCAATAATTTATTATTGACAAAATTCAAATATCTCTCATCGGAACCGAGTTAACTGCTGTCAAAGTGCAGTAGCAGAAAGAAGGCTCCGGGGAAGGCGCAGTGAAACGAAAGCTTCAATTTTCAAATAGATTTATCTCCTGAACCGCTAGAGATATAAAAAAGTTGAAAACTACAAAAATGTGTAAAATTTTATAAGCTATTTATTTGCAGTGGACAACTTTATCATATATTTTATGGCTTTTGAGTTGCAGCTCTTTTTTGAAGTTTCCAGTTTTTTGGTAACAGTACATTGATTTTTTAATTGATTTTCCCACACGCTGGTATGCTTGCCAAACTGCTCGAAATTTTTAATCGAATTGTTAACAACATCGTATACCAACTAAAGAAAAATTAGTTTTAGCGAAGAGGCGCAGAGAACCTAGAAACTATCTCTTCTCTGTGTCTCTCTTTCGACTTTAAACGTACAGGGTTTAAAGGCGCATATCTCCCGAACCACTAGAGAAAACAAACAGTTGTAAACTAACAAAATGTTTAATTTTTTTAGACATCATTTTGTTAGTTGACAACTTTTTTGTAGGTTTTGAGATATACACCTATGAAGCTCTAAAGGCTAGAAGAAAGTGCTTCCATCACCGTCAAACGCTTCTATCTTCAAAACCACCAACGCTATCAAAAAGCGATAAACTAACAAAATGTAGAACTTTGTGAGATTTGAATTTTTAATATTATGGCATTTAACTTACACTTATCCTCATCATAGATCTTGACCTTAACACCAACAGCTGGCTTATCCTCACAGATCAGTTGCCCTCTGACACCAACGGATTGGGTCCGTCCCAAACCAAAAACTACTGTAGGGATGGTGAGAAGAAGAACCACTCGGAGCATTCTGAAATATTGAGGTTCTTGAGAAAATAGACATTTTTGGTCAATTGACCAGTCGGGAAAAAAAGAAGATAGTAGATAGAAAAAAAGTTTTTTGTTTGTGTATGTGTCTTCTGATTCTTTGTCCCCCTTCACAAAAGGGACAACCTTGGCTATCTATTCTGACGACCTTCTTATCACAAGCTCCGCCCACTTTTTTTTCTTCTTTGCTTCCTTCTTTGTTTTGATTACTGGTCATTGTGATGAAGAAGGACAATAGGGTATGTAATAAAGGTGATGGATGGAAAAATGAAGAAAAACAGAAAACAATATTTTTCCTTAAATTGTTACTACAGATTTTGGTTTTTGACTGGAAAACATTATTTTTAAAATTCTCAAAATGCAAGACTTGAGATTTTGAAATAAATCAAATCTTCATAACTTCATAACTTTTAGTATCCAACAAAAGCCCATAAAATGTTCTATCGAATGGTCCAAAAATCATTTTTCTAGCTCTGCTGGATCCGCAGTTTCACTCGTTTCAATTTTGACGTAAAAGAGACGCAGAGAAACGAGACACGCCGACTTCTCTGCGTCTCTTGGGAGCGCGCGCGCCGCCAACTTTGAATAGATTTATCTCGTTTCCTGTGAACTATATCAAAAAGTGATCAACTGATAAAATGTTTGCCATAATATCACAACTATTTTGTTAGTTGACTATTTTTTGATATCTTTTACAAAAACCGAGATAAATTGAGTCAAAGTTGATTTCAAATTTTTTCTAGAAATTTTTCACAGAATTTTTTAGATTTAGTATCAAATGGAATCCTGTAAGGTTTGCTTTCGAATGGTATAATCATCATTCCTTAAGCTCTACTGGTCCCGCAGATACAGGCATTTAAATTTTGAGCTAGCAGAGACGCAGAGAAACGAGACACGCCGACTTCTCTGCGTCTCTCTTGGGAGCGGCAACATCAAGAGCGCGTATCTAGTGCCACTACGCTTGAGCTTGATTATCTCGTTTCTTGTGAAAGCTATCAAAAAGTGATCAACTGATAAAATGTTCGTCATAATATCACAATTTTTTTGCTAGTTGACCACCTATTGATATCTTTCACAGGAACCGAGATAAATTGAGTCAAAGTTGATTTCAAATTTTTTTAGAACATTTTTTTCTGAGTTTCTTCTGAGTTTTAGAATCACGCGGAAGGCAATAAAATTTGCAATCGAATGGTCAAAAAATCAGTCCTCAAGCTCTATTGGTCCCGCAGATACGCTCGTTTTAATATCGAGCTAATAGAGAAGCAGAGAAACGAGACGCACCTACTTCTCTGCGTCTCTCTTGGGAGCGGCAACTTCAAGAGCGCGTATCTCTGACGCTTAACTTTGAGCTTAATTATCTCATTTTCTGTAAAAGATATTAAAAAGTGGTCAACCAACAAAATTTGTATCTTAATGTATAAAACATTTTCCTAGTTGACCATTTTCCATAATCTCTTATGGGAACCGAGATAAATCAGGTCAAAGTTAGAAGACCCTTTCAGCACAGGTTTAACGATAAATAATGATTGACTATCTACTTTGAGAAATTCAAAAAATCAAAATATGCTAAAAAAATACTGGAAAGTGAAAAAAAATTCGATTTAAAAATTGAATTTTATTTTGAAATTTTAAAATTCGAACCACATTTTTATACAATTCAATTACCAAAACCAATTTATGACTCACTTCTTTGAATGTTATATGTTTAGTTCCACTACAATTCTCTAACAATACCATTCATCAATCACTCAAATTTCCCTGTATTATATGATATCATTTCCTGTCCCTCTCTGGATTCTTTTTGATCTTCTTTTTAGCACTTTTTCAAAAAAATGTGTGACTCATTATATTTTTCTTTTCTAAAGTATCCCTTATGTCAACTTCCTCTTTGTTTACCGAATTCGATATAAAATAAGAAGTGTTTTTGATGTGATATAACCTGACAATGGTCGGACAGTTGATTTTTACAACGTCTTCAGGGTCTTCAGGGGTCAGAAGACGTCTTTGTAACACTTCTGATTCTTTTCTTTTCTCTTGACCCATCTTTACAAAACTTTTCAGTCACTTCTAGAACTTTCTCTTCTATATGACATTCCTAGATACCTATGTTCACGATAATTTCTTCGATGTTCTCAATGGTACATCCTTAAATTCTGTTCTAGGAATTTGACGGACGTCTTCTGGATTTTCAGATGAAGTGCCTCCTCGTCCTCTTAGCCACTATCTCGTGCACGTTTGCTGGAGTTGGATTCAAACAGTCTGTCGCCGTGAAGGGTCGTCTGATTTGTAATGATGGGCCGGCGAAGGATGTGAGAGTGAAGATGTATGATAAGGATGTTTGTGAGTTGATTTTTTGCATTTAAAAAGTGAGAAAAAAAGATTTGCACTACGAGGGAATTGAACTTGTGGCAAGCTGAACGACAGGCAGACCTCTTCCCGCTTGCGCCACGCCGCCACTATGATCCTTAAAGGTGAAAGGTGATCAAAAACCGCTGTTTCTTTTTCCAGTGATGGACACGAAATTGGACGACAAGACTACTGATGGAAATGGGGAGTTCTACTTGACAGGAGGAGATTCGGAAATTAGCTCCATTGATCCACGTGTCAATATTTATCATGATTGTGATGATGGATGGACGGTAAAGAGGGACTCTATAATTTAGGAATTCTTGATTCAATTCTTCAGAAATTCAAAAACTCAGAAATTCAGAAATTCAGAAATTCAGAAATTCAGAAATTCAGAAATTCAGAAATTCAGAAATTCAGAAATTCAGAAATTCAGAAATTCAGAAATTCAGAAATTCAGAAATTCAGAAATTCAGAAATTCAGAAATTCAGAAATTCAGAAATTCAGAAATTCATTTTCAGCCATGCCAACGTCGTCTGACTGTCGGCGTTCCAGACAAGTACATCACCAACGGTGACAAACCGACAAAAGTTTTCGATCTCGGTACCATTCAACTGGCTGGAAAATGGGTTGGAGAGACTCGTGACTGTATTCACAGACATTAAACTTTTTTTTGAATTTTTTTCCAGTTTTATGAAGACCAATTCAGTAGACAATAGACTTGTTTTATTCAAATCAAAAGTATAAGCACTGTACAATATAAAACGAGAAATGAAGAAAAATTGATATAAAGCTTGACTGGGCTCAATTATCTTGCTCCCTATAAAAGATATCAAAAATCTGTAAACTGATAAAATGTTTTTCATAAAATCAGCAATATTTTATCAGTTAACAAATTTTTGATACTGTTTACGGGAGCTGAGATAATCGAGCTCAACGTTAGGGTCCTTCAATTGCACATCTCAACTTTGACCCAAATTATCCAGTTCTTATAAAAGCTATCAAAAATTTGCTAACTAATAAAATGTTTGTCACATTATCAGCAATATTTTATCAATTGACAAATTTTAGATATCTTTTACAGGAACTGCGATAATTGCGCTCAAACGTAATTGTGCTCAAAGTGACATAAGAAACAGGGCAATGGCTTCCGGGATGGGGAAAAAAACTAGCAAGATTCTAGAAGCAAAATTTCTCACAAAAAAAATACTATTTTTGGGGTAAGAGGTAGGAGATCAGTGTGTAAAAGCGATGCGATTTAGTTTTGATTTTTTTTTTGAAATTTTGATTTTTACAAAATGATCTGTTTATGCAATTTGATGGTTTTCTTGCTGATTTTCCTCATCATGAGTATCCACTTCTTCTTCTTCTTCGTCCTCCTCGTCCTCCACCTCCTCATCATCGTCCTCCATTTCCTCGTCCTCCTCGTCCTCCAACTCCTCATCATCGGTATCCACATCCTCGACGAGGTCTGAAAATGCGCTCTATGGACAATTTGAAGCGTAACTTCCTTCAAAATTGACATTTTTCAAAAATTCAAAATGGAGGATAAAGGCCCTAAAAAAACCTATAAAATGGTATAAAAATCAATCAATTAAAATAACTACTTTCAGGTTTTATGAGTGGAACAGTTCAGGTATGGTGCATGTTGCTGACTGCACGCACTTTGAGCTCAATTATCTCTATTGCTATCACAGATATCAAAAAGTGACTAACAGATAAAATGTAGCTGATATTATGATGAACATTTTGTTGGTTGAATAATTTTTATATCACTGATAAGAGCTGAGATAATTGAGCTCAAAGTAAAAGTATAGGATGGCGAGGTTCCTTTACTATATTCCACCCTCTAAATTACTGAATTTTTTAATCATTTTCTAGCCCTTTTCAAAACCTACATTCAACTTTTTCAAAATTTTGAATGTTTAAACCCTGCAAGTGCGCTCCAATGACAACTCACCATCCAGTGGAAAAACCAAGTCAATCTCGTATAACGGCTCCTCCGGATACACGTTCTTAATTCCAAAATACAGTTTTCCAGGTGCCGAGATATACGAAATTTCGCCTCTTCGATTGCGTGTTTGAATGACGGCGTTTGGAGGAATCCTACTCGGATCGATACCGAACTGCCAGAGTACTCCACTAAGGATTCTGAACCCCGGAATGGAGAAATCCACCAAAGCCAAGTGATTGTAGCCGGGGACACTCATGATCCAACCCTGCAAGAAAAAGGTTGTGGTCATGAAGCTCAAAAAAGAAGAAAAACGATTTTGCGCCGAAGAAAATATCGAACCCCTGACCTTGCTCCTGCAAAACAGGCGTGCACCCGCTTGCGCCACACAGGCACATAATTGGGGAAGGGAGAGAGTTCATACAGGAAGGGGAGAGAATTTAGGAAGTGAGAGGCGGGGGAAGGAAAGCTTGCAACTTTTTCGAAGGGATACTGTAGAAGTGAAATTTAAACGTTTTACCTTAATCCACTTAACCACAACTTCCACAGGTATGGTGTCGCTAGAAAATACCGCAATTTTCATCCGGCGTCGAAAACGGTTGGCCAACGAAACATTGATATTATCCGCATAGAAACCAAAGCATCCTTTGAATTGAAACTGTCAAAATCTGTTTTAAATATTTTTTTTTACAGAACACATACCCATTTCTCATAAATCCTCTCACAAGTCTCATGTGCCTCCTGATCTACCACTGTTCCCAATCGAAGTATCCTTGCGTGTTCAATCTTCGGACCCCAGAATTCCATGACCTCGTCGGCATTACCGTTAGAAAGACATAGAGAAAGGTTCAGCTGTTCGACATAGAACCTTCCGGCCAGAAAGAATTCCTCCATGCCGATCTGAAAAGAATACTTTTTTTTTCGAAATTTCGACTGACAACTTTGAGCTCATATATCTCGGTTTCGGTAAGAGATATCCAAAAATGATAAACTAACAAAATATTATCCATATTACGACAAACATTTTGTTAGTTGGTTATTTTTTGATACCTCTTTAAAAAAACCGAGATAAATTGAATCAAAGGTTATTTCCAGAAAAAGTTTTTTTTTCATGATATAAATTATTCCCTCTAAAGCGTTTCAGTTTACAACTTTTTGATACCTGAAACTGTTCGTGAGATGTACGCCCTTGTATCTAACGCTCGCTCTCCACGATGGAGAGCCGCAGAGAGGTTAGAGCGTCTCGTTTCTCTGCGTCGCTTTCAGGCCCAAATTAAAACGGATGTATCTCTGGAAACAGTAAGGCTAGAGAATTGGTTTTTAGACCGTTCGATAGCAAATTTCATGACCTTTCGATTGATATTAAAAATCACAAAAAATCTAGATTTCGATATTCCTGGAAAAATGTTTCGGGATACGCAGTTTTCACATCAAATGAAACGACATCAAATTTGCTATGGAACAGTCTAAAATCATCTCTCTAGCTCTAATGGTCCCGCAGATAGCCTCATTTCAATTGTGACTTAAAAGAGACGCAGAGAAACGAGGCACGGTCTGTGTCTCTTTTGGGAGCGGCAGCTTCAAGAGCGCATTTCTAGGGACCTTAACTTGGAGTTCGATTATCTCGATTTCTGTGGGAGGTATCAAAAAGTGTTCAACTGACAAAATACACAGCATAATATCCGCAATATTTTGTTAGTGAACAACTTGTTGAGCTCTCTCACAGGAACCAATATAAATTTGGTCAAAGTACAAGGCCAAAAATCGACATACCGCATTAACATCAAAGATGTCCAGATCGTTGCCAAACTCTCTAACAACGTAGAAAAGAACACAGGTGGCAGAAATAATCACATCCGTGTCATCCATCAGAAAATCTCTCCAACTGAATCTGAAAATCTGGGTTGATTTTTGTTTTGGAAAAATGAAACCTACTTCAATAAAGTGTCATTTTTCTCTTCATCACATATCAGCTCAATAGGTTCTTCGTCGATAACAATACGGTAATTTTCATCGCCAATGCTGTGGAATGTGACATTCTTCTTTCTGGCAGCACTGCAGACTTTTTGCACGAGGCTTCTGAAACGAGATTTTCGAAAATCAAGATATTTTTGATATCAATCGAAAGGTCATAAAGTTTCCTATCGAATGCTATAAAGATAAACTCTCTAGCTCTTCTGGTTTGGGACATATAACTGTTCTCAATTTCGAACCAAAAGAAACGCAGGGAAACAAGGCTCGCTAACTTCTTTGCGTCTCTCTTGAGAGAGCTCGGGATTTGACTAACCCAACTTTGAGTCGATTTATCTCGTTCCCTGTGGAAGATATCAAAAAGTAATTAACTAATAAAATGTTTATCACAATATCAATAATGTTTTGGTAGTTGACCACTTTTTGAAATCTCTTACAGGGACCGAGATAAAGTGGGTCAAAGTTGTTATTTTATTTACCTGATATATCTCAAAAACCAATAGAGCTAGTAAAAAACGGTCAGCTATTAAAATGAAGAAAATTGAGTTTTCTACCTATTAATGTAAAAATCATTTTTCTAGCTTCATTTATTAGCGAGATACAGCTACTTGAAGTTGGCGATAAGAACTTACCGAAGCTGATCCAAATAATCACCGTGCTGGGGACCTTCGTAAACCTCTGGTGTCGTTGAGGAGATCTCCTGAATAAGAATTTTCGAAAAAGAAGAACCAAAAAAATAGAAAATATGTAGAGTTCCGTATTCCAACACAACAACAATGTACCAACCACAACATTTATACTCACTGTTCCCTTTCCGATGGATACGGTCATTTCTGCAACTTTTTTTCAAATAAGTACATTTAAAGAGCTCCCCAACCAAAAATCAATGTTCCAGAAGCTCGGAAAGAGAAGAAAAAAGGTTTTGCGACGAAGGAAATATCGAACCCCTGACCCTGCTCATGCAAAACAAGCGCGTACCCGCTTGCGCCACAGAACACATAAATGAGAAGGGAAGAGAGTTGGTACAGGAAGGGGCGCGAATTGAAAAGCTGGAGGGGGGGGGGGGAACAAAGTAGCTTGCAAAAATTTCCGAAGGGGTTCTGTAGATTTTTTTGGAGGATTTTTACAATTTTTCGTCCCATAGCAAAGTAGAAATCTAAAGATACGTATTTTCCTCAAAAAGAAGTGTCAAAAATTAAACATTTCCAAGAAAAACCATCGGTTTTGGGTTCAAAAATGCCTTAAAGCTTTAATGAACCCAAGGTATACGGTAGCTAGACTCACCTGACACTGAATAGGATCCTCTGGAATCATCCTCGACCTGAGTCTTCAAGAACCTTCCAACTGAAAAGGGTTCAACTATTAGATATACAAACAATATATCGGTCCGAAACGCGATAAAGAGACCTAGCCCAGACTGCGAATGGTGCAAAAAGCGAGAGATTCGGAGACGCAGAGACAGTGAACACCTCTTCCAGGCATTGCGACGTACGGCGTGTGTCTGCGTCTCTGCGTCTCGCACACTATTTCGGGAAGACAGCAGCGAGAGAGAACGCAAAACGAGGAAGGTGTGAGACACTGGACACCGATCGTCGTCGACACAGAAGAAACAGAAGAAGGCCCTGGGCGCTGCGTCGTGTGGTAACGAACCACTGGTGAGCGAGGGAGAGAAAGTGTGTGAGTAGGAGAGGGGACAGAGAAAAGAGGCTTCGATTTCTAAAACAGCAACAGCGACCGGCAGACGAGGCCAATGGAAGGAAGAGGTTATTGATTTTGCCTACAATATAGAACCCAAAGAGCTGTCTGTGCGTTTGTAGGTCCGGATGTCCATCTATCTTCGATACGGAGATCACAATATACGATTTACAAAACCTTTCCAGAACGATTTTCCAGTTTTATGATAATTGTTCATCTACACACAATTTAAAACAGAATTTCCGGAATTTCAAAAAAAATCAAAAGAGTTTTCACCCGCCCGGAATCGAACTCCCGACCTCTAGATCCACCCTCTTCACCATCTCCACTGCGCCACACCGCCGCACACTCTTCTCACCGCTTGCCGACCGCCGCGCGCGACACACGCATTCCATAGTGGCCGACGCGAGCCCGGTTTTTGTCGGTACATGCGCGCACCCTACCCCCCGCGCCTCGTTCTCACCGCATCGCTTCTTCGGCTTATTAGCTAAGATCAAAGTGTAGTATCTGTTCTTATCGTATTAACCTACGGTATGCACTCGAATGAGTGTAATAAAGGTTATATGATTTTTGGAACCTAGGAAAGACTCGGGGCTTGCTCCGACTTTCCAAGGGTCGTCCCGGCGTTGCACTGCTGCCGGGCTCGGCCCAGTCCCTGTGGGGACAACAAAAACATTAGTGCAGCAGGAGATGCTGGAAATGCAGAAGAAATCGTTGATTTTCAGAATAATTTGCGACAAGCTGAAAGAGGATTTGTTTATTGAAAAAGGGAGTGACTTGTCGACAATCTTGAACAACGAGCGGGAATGTATTTTTCTTTTGGCTGGAAGTACACCATTTAACGGGTTTTAGCTAACTTTGGGCACTTCACACAGCCGTCAGAAAAATTTGAAACCTGTAAAATTTTAGCCACCTCCTTTAAAAGGAGTCCTCCCTGTAAAACCATTTTCAGGCTAAAAACAATACTAGTATAAATTATTTTTATAACAAATTCATTAACAATAATGAACAACGACTGCAAAATTAGTCGGTTGGGACGATGGTGGTCTTCTCGGAGACGTAGATTCCGTCAAGGAATTTACGGATATCCTTCTCCTTAACGGCGGTGGATTGTTGGAGACGAGCGGCGGCTTGGGACACGAATTGAACGTCATTTCCCTCAACGATGATCTCGTCCTTTTGTGCGGTGGAGATGGTGGCAGTGACTCCATCTGGAAGTGGGACACGGCGGACGATCTTCTCTCCCAAGAAGTTACGGATCTAGAAAGATACAAAGTTAATTTGGAGAAGATTTTCAAGTTAAATTACCTCAACAGTTCTGTTTCCGTCTTGAAGGGTAACGTTGATGGGGAAATGGGCATATACGGAGCGCATCTTGTAGCGGAATCCGAGGGTGACTCCCTTGATCATGTTCTTGACGTGGGAGCAGACGGTGCGGATGGCGGCGAGCTCCTTGCGGACTCCGAACCACTTGCGGACGCGGAGGGTGTTCTTTCCGACGCGCTCCATCTCCATGTGCAAGTGACGGAAGTCCTTGCGGATGGTTCCGCGTGGTCCGGTGACGTGGACGATGCGGTTCTTGACGGTGAAGGTGACTCCCTCTGGGAACACAACGGTGTCGTTGGACTCGATCAGCTTCATGATCTACGTGGATTACCTGGAAAAAATGATAAAATTTTATTTTTAGAGAAAAATAGACGACAAAAAAGCTCGGAAAAACGGAAAATATGGGGTTTTGAGAGTTAAAAACAAGAATTATTATCGAAAGTCACTAAAAATTACCTTTCGCATTAGGTTTTTACCGATTTCGCACACAAATTTTCAGTTTTGCAAGGCAAAACCATGCTAAAAAGACTGTAAAATCACATCATAAAGTTAGAAAAAATGAAAAAATAATTCAATGAACCGATTCTTCAGCAGAAGTGAGAAAAAGAAGCTTGGAAAACGGAGAGATTCGAGTGCAGCCAGTTTACTCCGTATCGCGCACGTTATACTGAGTCGATACGCAGCGAATTGCAAAGCGTGCGGCGGGGAGGAATTTTGCATTTTGCCGACGCCCCGCCCACTTTTCCGTGCCCTCGCCGCTTTCGGCACCAATTTTTCGCCAAAAATGCGTTTTCGCACCAATTTTCGCGATTTTTGGTGTAAAAGTAGCGAAAATTAGAGAAAATTTGGTTGGGAAATGTGTTGAATGGTTTTATAGTAGTTTTTCGATGTTCCTTTGATTTGCGGAATTTTTTTCGAAATCTTTTTCTTCCAATTTATACAGCTTTAAACAACTAATTCTGCCGCTTAAAAATGGTTCTTGTTAGAAACCAGACCAAAAATTCCTTAATTTTTCAGTTTTCTGACTCATATATATAGTTTTTTGGTCGAAAAATATCGATTTTCCGCTTTTCTTGTTCTCTTTCTGTTTGATAACTCAAGCATTCATATTTTTCATAATCCCTCGACTTTCCATGTTTTTTCTCATTCAGCAAATTGACCTATTATTATTTTCAGCAGAATGAAGGACCGATTCAAACAAAAATACACCGCCGGAGCGGCAGTGGCATATATGTCACGAAAACAAGCGCTGAAGAAGCTTCAGCTCACGCTCAAGGACTTCCGTCGATTGTGTATTATTAAGGTTTTTGTCATTCAGCACATAATTTCTTCAAAATTTCGATTTTCAGGGAATCTACCCACATGAACCGGCACACAAGAAGCAAGCAAACAAGGGTTCCACAGCTAACAAGGTGTTCTACTATCGCAAAGATATCAACTTCCTGGCTCACGAACCGATTATCAACAAGTTCAGAGACTACAAGGTCTTTTTGCGAAAATTGAACCATTTGAAAGCAAAGAAAGAGGATGAAAAGATTAAGAAGCTCTATGACAACAAGCCAGTCTACAATCTCGACACTATCGTTAAGGAGCGCTTCCCGACGTTCGGATCGGCTCTTCGTGACATGGATGATGCTCTTTCTCTATGCTTCACCTTCGCTATGCTCCCACATACTCGAGTTCTCAAGGAAGGAATGATCGACAGCTGTCGTAAGCTGACTGCCGAATTCATGCACTATGTGATCGAGTCTCAATCTCTCCGCAACACCTTCATTTCTATCAAGGGAATCTACTACCAGGCTGAAGTCCACGGTGAGAAGATCACATGGGTCGTGCCACACGAGCGTGGTCTTCCACACGTCACCGACGTCGACTTCACCGTTTTGGTGACGTTCGTTGAGTTCTACATCGCCATGTTGGGATTCGTCAACTTCAAACTCTACCAGGACATTGGACTCTTCTATCCACCACAGATCGGACAGGTTGTTGAAGGAGATGAGATGGAAAGTGAGGAATATAAGGAAAAGGTGTACAGTTTGGCGAAGCCATTGGCGAAAAGAAAGGATGTGGAGCAGACCGAAGATGATGAGCCATTGGATCTTCTCGGAGAAGATTCTGATGCTCTTGCACAGAAAGTCAAAGAAGCCAAGAATATCAAGACCCTGTTCAAAGGATGCGTTTTTTATCTCAATCGCGAGTGTCCAAAGGAAGCTCTAACATTTATCATTAGAAACGGAGGTGGAGTTGTTGGATGGGAAGGAGCACCGAATGATTTGAAAGCTGATAGCAAAAACATCACACATCACATCGTAGATCGGCCAATGGACAAGTTAGAAGTAAATCGACTCTATGTACAGCCACAGTGGGTGTTCGATTGCTTGAATGCTCGTAGAAAGTTGCCAACGGAGAGGTATATGCCAGGAGTTGCACTGCCACCACATTTCTCGCCGTTTACATCTGAAAAGGCTGGAGACTACATTCCATTTGAACGATTGGAGGAGTTGAGAAGCATGGGCAAGGGTGAGTATAGGTTTTTAATCGAACAATTTCATTTTATGAGCTGAATAATCAAAGAATCCTAATTTCCAGACGTCTCCGAGCTCGAAGCCGCTATTCCAAAGACCATGGACGAGCTGCCGATGCGCAGAAAGGAGGTCAAGCCAGAAAAGCCAAAGGGAATCCACATCGCCGTCGGACAGATGCACAAGAAGAGCAAGGAGAAGTTCCACGAGACAGTCGAGAAGGGACAAGAGTTGAAGATGCGCGAATTGATGATTTCGAAGAAGCACCAACGTGTCTACCACAGCATGAAGACGACGTTCAAACGAAATCGCAACGATGCGCTGAAGCTGAAAAAGAAGGCCAAGTTGGTGAAGGCGACGGCGGAAGCCTGAAGACGTGGTTTTTGTTTTTTTGTTTTGTTGAAATTGTTGATTTTTATCTTTTTAATAACCAATCCCCCAATCTACATCATCCGATTATCTCCTTTCGTTGTTTTGTTACCCACAATTCTGATAAAAAAGTTATTCAGAGAAAAGAAAACAGAAACTTATTATTGCAGTGTAGGGAAAAATTCCAAAAAATAAATTAGGAGACAAAAAATAGTTATTATTGCTCTTTTTTTTTAACTTCTAGGTGAGATCTAAGGCGAGTTCTTCTTGTTCTTTTTGTTTTGTATTGCATAGTAATAATTTAGGTCATCAAAATTCGAAGATCTAACGTGTCGTCGACACGTATCTATCATAGGCATCTTGTGTTGGATCCTCCTGAGCTATGGCGCCATAGTTGGCGTTGACTACGGTGGTGGCGTTGAAGGCGTCGGTGATTTTGCCGTCTCGAGCCATTGGGACTCCTTGTGGGGCTAGAAAATTGAAATTTGTGAAATATTACAAAAAAAAATAGAAGGGTTACCCATAATATCCATATCCTCCTCTTCGAAATTCCCGGCTCCATACTTGATTCCCTCGTACTTGAACAGTTTATTCAGGCCGAAGCTTCCAGCACACGTCGCCAGACAGATCAGTCCGTAGATCACAAACGTGGTTCGCGAGCCTATGACAGAGATCACCGATCCGCCGACGATTGATCCGATGCCTTTTCCGATGCCATGATAGCCGACTTGGAGAGCGTACTGGGCGTGTTGTTTGGCGTGAGGAGGGGCGACCAGGGAGATGTAAGACGAGGCACAAGACCAGACAGTGGCTAGGCAGGCACCTGGAAGAAATTTAGAATTTGAATTCATTTTTAAAGTGAAATTTACCTTGCAAAACCTGAAGCGGGAGGACCATCCACGGGTTGTCCAGGATCGAGAGGGCCATGAAACGGAAGAAGTTGACAGCGAGGCAGAGATACATAACGCGCACATGGCCGTACTGGAAAATAGTGATAAAAGGGGATGGAAAACGATTAAAAAACAACCTAACTGACGCTGGAAGGAATTGAGCTCGCGGGCTCTTGCTTCAAAGCGAAAAGCTCTATCCACTGCGCCACAGCACACGGCGCAGTGGATAGAGCGCCTGGTTTTGGATCGAGAGCTCACGAGTTCAATTCCTTCTCGCTGCATTTCCATTTTCGATATTTTTGCCCTCGATACCTACCTTATTGATGAGTTTGAAGACATAGAAGTAGGTGATAATCTCTGATGCATGATTGACGACGGAGAGGATTCCAAACAGGACTGGAGAGCCTCCGATGTCTTGGAGATGCCAATAGAGGAAGCTGAAGACGAGGCCAGCGCCACCGCCCATCACGACGACCGAGATGAAGAAGAGAAGGATGTGCATGCTGGCGAGGGCCTTCATGGCGAGCAGGAGACTGTTCTCGGAGCCAGAGCCACCTTCGGACTGAAAATTTGACTGGTTTAGATGTGTAGAGATCGGATTACCGTTGTATCTCAAAAACTAAATAAGATACGAAAAAATCGCCAACTACAAAAAATTAGAGCTAAAAATGTTAGACATATAAGAAGGAGCGATTTTTAAAATTTTCAATTTTCATCCCAAATCACTTCGATTTCCAAAATTTCTGTGAAGTTTCAGTAAAATCACGTGAATTTCCAAAATCCCAGAACTCGAACCGTCGAGTTCTGTGAAAAATCCCAGAAATTGCAACATTCAATTTCTGTGAATCACGTAAAATTTCCAAATTCCCAGAAATTTTGGAAATCGAAGTGATTTGGGATGAAAATTGAAAATTTTGAAAATCGCTCCTTCTTATATCTGTAGTTGACCATTTTTAGGTAGCTATTTTGGTTCGAGTGATATGCGCCTTTAAAGTAAGGCACAGTCTAAGCGCGTTTATCATCATCATGTTTAAATAGCTGTATCTCTTTAACTAATGAAGCTAGGAAACTGATTTTTAGCTCAATTGATTGGAAATTTCATTTTTTTTCATTTTCATAGTTGACAATTTTATGTAGCAATTACCGTTCAAGAGATACGCGCCTTTAAAGTAAGCGCGTCTTTTCGCGACTGTAACGCATACACTGCGCGCTGCTGATAAGTTCAAGTAGCTGTATCTCACTAACTAATTGAGCTAGACAATTGATTTATAGCTCAATCGATAGGAAATTTCATTTTCTTCATTTTCGTAGTTCGCTAATTTTGAGTAGCTATTGCGGTTTGCGTGATATATGCCTTTAAAGAAGGCACGCCTACAGACCCTGAAAAACATCGTCAACTTCAAGTACCTATATCTCCTTAACTAATAAAGCTAAGAAATTTAATTTATAGCTCAATCGATGGGAAATTTAATTTTCTTCCTTTTCAGAGTGAACGATTTGTAAGTAGCAATTCTGGTTCTAGAGATATGCGCCTTTTAAGTAATCATGATTATTATTTGCAAGTACAAAAGGTCCCACTACTTTGACACAATTCATCTCATTTCCTGTGAAAGTTATCAAAAAGTGATCAACTAATAAAATGTTGGCTTCATTATGCTGATTATTTTGCCAGTTGAGCATTTTTCGATAACTTTTGAAGGAAACGAGATAATTGAGCTCGAAGTTACCGTTCCCAAGAGAGACGCAGAGAAGTCGGCGTGTCTCGTTTCTCTGCGTCTCTTTTAGGTCCAAATCAAAACGACTGTATCTGCGGAACCAGTAGAGCCAGAGAAACGATTTTTAGTTTGATCGATAGGAAATTTCATTTTCTTCATTTTCATAGTTAGCAATTTTTCGTTGGCTCTTTGAGCTAGACCTTCTTCTTTTGAAAATGCAAAAAGCTCACCTGTGTAACCCTTGCTCTTGCCTTCTCCGCGACGACATGTGACACTTCAGCTTCCCGCGTATCCATAACCAATCCACCAACCTCTCCAGGAGCAGCCATGTCATCGTCAAACTTGAATTTACTGGCCAATCCCATCGCGGCCAGCATGAAAATCACACACATCACAAAGCACAGCGTGTAGTTCTTCTCCGTCGTATTCTCCGCCGGACACGGATGATTTCGGAATGTATCCGAGTAATCTAGAGCGATACCCATGATAAACATAGCCAGACCCCATCCAACTGACGCCATCAATCGGATTTTTCCGAATTCGGCAGGATTGTCACGGACGGCGTGGAGGGTGGCGGCGTCTGCGAGTGGAAGAGCTGGAGAGGAGAAGAATTCACAGAGACAGATAAGGATGAGCAATAGCATGAACGCTTGCTCGACTGCTGGTTGACGATAGACGCGGGTGGAATGAGGTGGTGAGACGAGGATACCGTAGTTGTCCTCGTTGTAGTTGCAGACCTAAACATTAGTTGATGTTTAAGGACGCATATCACCGGAACCATAGAAGGTATTACAATTTTTTAACTAGAAAAATGTCAGACATTTTAAAATACACATTTTGTTAGTTGACAAAATGTTGATAGCTTTGCTAGTTATTGAGATATGGGGCTTGGCACTCTTCGAACCTCTAGGAGCCCGTTATACAAAATTCAAAAGCGTATAACTCGGTTCAAAGTTGAAGTTTTTGCTTGATTTAAGAATCAAAATGTAGAGCTCAATAAGATCTACAAAATGATATTAATTTGAGCTATACTTAAATGTTTAGTGGTAACTCAGAGTTGGTGAAATTGCGAGTATGCAAAATCGACACCCTCACTACGCGACGCCGCATAACTCGCTTCAAACTTGGAATTTCTGCTTAAGTTAAAAAGTGAAAAGTAGAGCTCAACAAGCTCGTCCTACAAAACAATGTTAAATTGGATCATATTGTAAAATTGTGCCACAAACTTGAAGCCGTAAAAACAGCTGGGTCTGCGAACTTGGTCTGGGTAGTTTGGTGGTTTCAGCGCACCTGGTTTGTTTGTAGCTCGCATTTAGAATAGCCAAATTTAATATTGTTTTGTAGATCTTGTCAAGTTTTACATTTTACTTTTTGGTTCGTTTGGATAAGTTTGAAGCGAGTTATGCGCTTTTAAACTAGACCAGAGCTATTATGCAGCTTCTGGGATGCGGGATGATGGTGCTCGTTGTTCAAAGCGTTTTATCTCAAAAACTAGCAGAGCTACCTAAAATTTGTAAACAAAATGTTTGTCCTAAAATTTTACACATTTTACTAGATTACCAATTCTTGATAGCTCTGATGGTTCAAGAGATATGCGTCTTCAAATCCACCTAAAGCTTCTGGGATGCGGGAGAGAATTGTGCTCTTTGTTTAATGCATTATATCTTAAAAACTAGCAAAGATAGTCAGAAATTGTCAACTAATAAAATGTTTTTCTTAAAATTTCACACATTTTACTAGTTGATCAATTTTTGATAGCTTTATTGGTTTTTGAGATATGCGCCTTTAAAAAAAGCCTTACCCTATCCCTTGTAATATACTCCGGTGCGATTCCAGCTATCGTATCCTCCTCACTATCGAACGAGCTCAAATCGATGATTTTTTCGACGAGTGCTGCAAAAAAAAGCTTCTCGAACCTTCTAGAATATTCCAAAAATTCTTACGACTCTGGGTTTGTCTCCTGTGCCTTGCTGGCTTCGTCGATCCACCAACCAATGTCTCTTTGAGCATTCCCAGTGCTCCACCTCGGATAATTTTTCCAGCTGGAGCCAACATCGTTTGACATGTTTTATTACCTTCTGAAAAGTTTTTTTCTGGGTTACTGTACCTCTGTGGATTACTGTAGCTTGCCTACCTGGTACATAAACTATACAATATGGGGTCACCGGTTGGACCAAACCAATTCCGAGTGTGAATAGGACCAGCGAGCCCAGCGAGAATAATAGGAGCAGTTTTTGTTTTCTGAAATTTAGATTTAAAAAAATGCAAATTCGCCCTATTGGACTAAAACTGCGTCACTCAAAAAAAGTGACGAATGAGTGGGTCTCTCCCCAAAAAGCTATCATTTTACCAAAAATGACGGCACAAACTTTTTGGGATCAAACATCTTACCTGAATCTGCTAGCGAATTGACTCCAGAATGGTCCGGATAGAAACTCGACAATGGGTCGAGAACCGATTAGGAAGCCGGCCTGGAAATGAGGGTTTTCAAATATACAGAAATCCAAATTTTTTTAAATAAATTGGTATCAAACGAAAGCCAATGAAATTTTCTATCGAATGGTGTAAAAATCGTTTTTCTAGCTCTACTGGTTCCCGAGATACACTGGTTTCAATTGCCCATAGAAGAGACGCAGAGAAACGCATATCGCATATCGGGTACCTAACTTCGAGCTTATTTATCTCGCTTCCTGTGCAAGATATCAAAAAGTGCTCTACTAATAAAATGTTCATCATAATATTTTAAACATTTTATAAGTGGTCTACTTTTTATTATCTTTTACAGGGAACGAGATAAATCGGGTCAAAATTGAGATGTTTTTTTCTTGCCTACCTGCGCCGCTGTCATACCCAACTGCTTGAAATAGACGGCTAGAAGTGGGAAAAGTGATCCAAAACTAGCGAAAAACGATAGATAGAATAGTCGACATATGAAGGCGTCCCGCGGGAACACCTTCCCGAAGATGTTCACCGTTCGTTCGCCCACGTGGTTTTCCATACCTGGAAGAGAAACTGGTTGAGCGGGAAATTTGAAAATTTGGCTCAAACAAAAAGGGAAATGTTCGGAAAAAAAAGAGAAAAACCAAGAAAATTTGGCAAGAAAATGCTCACATGTAAATGGACACAAACACGGACACAAGTCATGTAATTATAGACGTACGGAAAGCCAAACGGAGAGAGAAAAGAAACGTAGAGATACTATAGAAACAGATGACGTTAGAAGATTTCGTAATTCTTAGATTCTTAGATTCTTAGATTCTTAGATTCTTAGATTCTTAGATTCTTAGATTCTTAGATTCTTAGATTCTTAGATTCTTAGATTCTTAGATTCTTAGATTCTTAGATTCTTAGATTCTTAGATTCTTAGATTCTTAGATTCTTAGATTCTTAGATTCTTAGATTCTTAGATTCTTAGATTCTTAGATTCTTAGATTCTTAGATTCTTAGATTCTTAGATTCTTAGATTCTTAGATTCTTAGATTCTTAGATTCTTAGATTCTTAGATTCTTAGATTCTTAGATTCTTTTTCCCCAGAGAGTTTCAGACTCAAAAAAAACGGAAATGCTGTTTTTTTTCTTTGTTTGTGTTCTGTGTTTTTTTAGGAACCAATAAGAAGAAATAGTAAATTTTCAGAAGAAAAAAAAATTGCAAAAAATTTTAAACACCAAAGATTACACCCCAAAATCTTTGTGTATAATTAGAGTGCACACAAGATTTAGTGCATTTTTCTTTTTTTTTTTTGCAAAATTTAGATATTTTGAAACACCATACATATACTTGTATCCCGTTTCATCATTTAAGGCTTCTTCAATTTCTAAAATTCCAAAAAAAAATTCAAAAATTGGGGGAAATGTTGTCTGAATTTTGAGCTCAATTATCTCGGTTCCTATCAAAGATATCAAAAAGTGGTCAACTGATAAAATGGTTATTATATTAATAGCAACATTTTATCAATCGACATCTTTTTGATATCTTTCACAGAAGCTGAGATAATTGAGCTCAAAGTTAATTTACCCTTTGGCTCGCCAGTGAAAGAAGGGGCTTTTAACTTTGACGCGCTATATCTCGGTCCTCATAACAGCTATAAAAATGTGTCAACTAATAAAATGTTTGTTTTAAAATTTCAAATGTTTTATTAGCTGACAAAAACTTGACAACTTATATGGTTCAAGAGATATGCGCCTTTAAAATTTGCGACGCCATTTTCAAAAGCGATCAGGATATAGAATCTTCAAAACACCATATCTCAAAAAATAAAAATTCAAATTTTAAAATCTAAAAACCCAAATATTTTAAATTTGAAAAGCTACATTTTGTTAATTGACCGTTTATTGATAAAACGTTTGGTTTTTTAGATATACCGCTTTAAAGTAAGTGTGCCCCTGGAGACCCAAATTTTGCGGGCTCAATTTTTTATGTTGGCAATTTTTGATGAATATCTCAAGACTCAAAAGAGCTAGAAATTGAAAAAACGGTTTTTGAATAAAATCAAAAAAGGCATTTCGTAATTTTTTTATTCCCAAAAGCAATCAGAAAAATCAGAAACCTAGAAAAAGGAAGGCAAAAAAAAAGAAAGAAGTCGATAAAAAAGGTACGAAGAGGGAAAAACTAGGGGGAAACTCCACAGAGAGAAGTAACGGGTCCCCGAGCGAGAGCAAGCACACACACAAATCTATATAAAGCAAAAAAGAAGAAAAAGAAGAAAAAGAAGAAGAAGGGGGAATAGGAGAAGAAGAAGTTGTTGGAAGAGTGTGTATGCTCTCTCTCTCTCTCTCTCCCCGTTGACGACGATTCTAAAGCCTTCGAGAGATGAAAAAAGGAAGAGAAAGAGAGCATTTTCTTCTTCTTTCCCTCTCCCCCCCCCCCCCCCACGTCTTCTAGTTGTCTCCTGACGCCACACGACTCGACTCGTCACCATTTTCCACTCGGGGACGTTTTCTCAGTTTTCTCTCTTCTTCGGAGAGCAGAAGAAAAACAAGAAGACGTCCTTTTTTATGGGAAGAAGAAAAAAAAAGAAACGGAAGGAAAAAGAGATGAAATAGGAAGATTATTTGTTTCCCTTTATTCGAAAAACGAATTTTCCAAAAATCGAAAATTTTGAATTTTGAAAAGTTCTTTACATTATGGTGTCAAACAAAAGCCAATAGAATTTGCTATCGAATCGTCTAAGAATCAGTTCTCTGGCTCTACTGGCTCGGGAGATACACCCGTTTCAATTGTGACCAAGAAGAGAGAGAAACGAGACACGCCGACTTCTCTGCGTCTCCCTCTCTTGGAGAGCGAACGCTTTGCGAGCGGTAACTTCAAGGACGCATATCTCAAGAACCGCTTGAGATATCAAAATGTTGTCAACTAAAAAGTTGTGTAGAATACTAAGGCAAACATTTTTCTAGTTAACAATTTTTAGCTAGCTATCATGGTTCTTGAGATGCAGCGCTCAAAAAACGGAATGCTCAAATCAGGATTTGAACGCGTGATGTTTAAAGGCGCATATCTCTTGCACCAAAAAAGTTACCAAACGTTTTTCAACTAAAGAAATGTGTAAAATTAAAAGGTGCATAATGTGGTAATTGATGCTAACTTTTATGGTTTTTGAGGTAAAACGTTTCAAACAAAGAGCACCCTCCCTGCATCCCAGAAGATGAATGATGGCTAGCTGCCAATTTAAAAGCGCATATCTCCCGAACCACTAAAGCTATCAAAAAGTTGTTAATTAGTAAAATGTTCAAAATTTTTGAACAAAATTTTTACTAATTTACAATTTTAGCTAGCTTTTGTCATTTCTGAGATATGATGTATTCAACAAAGATTACCTTCCCTGCATTCCAGTAGCTGCTCTCTTCGCAGCCTCTTCAAAGGCGCATATCTTTTAAACCAACATAGCTATCAAAAAATTATCAACTAGTAAAATGTACAAAATGTGAAAACAATCATTTCATTAGTCAACAAATTTTTGCTAGCTGCCATGGCTTTTGAGATACGGTGCTTTGAAGTTCGGTAGCTCATCATGATAAGAAGGGGTGACAGGCCGTGCACTTCAACAGACATGCAATCGTTGAACCCGCAAAGTTTAAAGGCGCATAACTCTTGAACGACAAACATTTTATCAGTTAACGATTTAACGATTTCTTGCTAGATTTGGTTGTTTTCGAGATACAGCGCTTGGAAATTTCTTGCTCAAAACAGGCTTTGGTCGCAATTGAAAGAATGTGAAATCTTTGAAGACGTATATCTCTTGAACCAACAAAGATATCAAAAAGTTGTCTACTATTAAAATGTGTAAATTTTTAAGAAAAATATTTCATTAGTTTACAATTTTTAGCTAGCTTCCTTAGTTTTTGAGATACAGTGCTTGGAAAATTGCTTGCTCAAAACACTGGTCGCGACTTCGAACGACGTTTAAAGGCGCATATCTCTTGAACTAACAAGGCTATTGAAAAGTTTTCAACTAAAAAATTGTTTAACATTTTAAGAAAAACATTTATCAATTTACAGTTTTCAGCTATATCCTTTAGTTTTTGAGATAGCTTTCTGGAAGATGTGTCAGTTCAAGGTGCATGCTCAAAAACAAAGAACAACTAAAAGAGCACCTGACTAATTTTTTTTTTCCAGCTTCATTTTTTGGGACAAATATGTCATGAACCAGTCAAGCAAAAAAGGAAAATATGTATAAAAATATGCATGTCAAACTTCCCGTTCCGGTTGTCCATCAAACATCATACCCCTATGAAAATTTCAGCTAAAAGGCCTAAACCTAGGGCCTAAAATGACGTATCAAAGCAAAAAAGACAGAAGAAAAAATCAATTATTCGTATTTTTCTGTGGGTACTCTGGGACACATTTATTATGCATTATGAAAAGAGAGAAAAAAACGGAAAAAAGGGGGATTAATACGGAGTCTTGTCGTCTTTCTTGGCCCACATTTGGAATGGTTCCAGGTAGTTTTCGACCTTAAATTGCTCTAATTTTCTCTTCTCATCGGTTTTTGGATCTTTGAGGAACTCGTGGAACTCGTGATCACCGAATCCGATTTCTGCGGCTTCTGATGACGTGGCACCGTAGTAGATGGCGTCGACGCGGGACCAAAGAGCAGCGCCCATGCACATTGGGCATGGATAACAGGAGGTGTAGAGTTGGCAGCCGGAGAGGTCGAAGGAATCTGGAAGAAAAGAATTTCCGAACTTCAGAATTTCACAGTTTCTGAATTTCAGAATTTCTGATTTTTTGAATTTCTGAATTTCTGAATTTGAAAATGAATCCGTTTTTCGAATTTTCAATGCTTTTGGATTTTTTAATTTTGGAACTTTAAAAAAAAATCCAAGGTCTTAAACCCCAAAATTTAAGATTCTGACTTTCTGAATTTCTGAAATTTTCAGATTTCCGAGTTTCTCAATTTCGCGATTCCCCGAATTTCAGATATTCCAAATTTCAGATATTCCGACTTGCAGAATTTCTGAATTTTCGAGTTTTCAAATTTTGGAGTTTCGAACATGCCATAAACACTCTAATAGAACGCCACCCGAATCGTCGAATTCGAACCCATGTATCTAATTTTCTGTGAGAGATATCAAAGGTTTTTCTGTGAGAGATATCAAAAAGTGGTTTACTGATAAAATGTTGCTGATATTATGATAAACTACTTTTATTAGACCACTAAATTTTCTGGATTCTCAAAATCTCAAGTTCCCAAACTTCCCATCAACTCACCAACATTCTTACAAGTATTCCTAATAGCCGTAACCTCAGCATGAGCCGTTGGATCCTTGGTTACCAAAACCATATTATGTCCCGATCCAATTACTTTTCCATCTTTCACAATAACTGCTCCAAATGGACCTCCATCCCCTGCTACCATCCCTTTCTTCGCCTCCTCAATCGCCAATTTCATAAATTCCATGTCGCGCGGGAAGTTTGAATTTTTGAGCTGGGACTAGTCTGAAAGAATATGTTGTCACATACATTTTTAAGCCACGTGGCGACAGAAAAATCTGGGTTTTCGCTTGGAAAAAATATTTAAAGGTGGGGGGACATGAAAAAAATAATTTTCTCGAAATTCCGTTCAAAGATGCCCCTCGAGGAGTTGAACTTGTGAAGGCGATGATTGAGGGTGCGGCGCTGCTACCGACTGAGCCACGCGGGCAAAGAGAAAGCGGACGCCCGATTGCATACATAAAGGCGAGGACGACAGCTGTACGCAGAGTGACATTTAGCGTTGTACACCGTCACGGTAGAATGCATACTCTAGCTACAAAAAAACTACGAAAAATCTCCTGTCCCCCCACCTTTAAAAACTCAAAATTGGAACTGGCGGGGCCATTTTTTCAAACACTTTCAGAATCAATTTTTAAAAATTCAGGCAAATAAAACAATTGCAAAGAAAGAATCGTCGATAAAAACTTTCAAAAAATCGACAAAATGCTGAAATTTCAGACATTTTTTTCAAATTGAAAAATTCTGTCCAGTGGGAAAATGACAAAAAATGAAACAAATGAAAAAAAGGGGAGAGGAGAGAAGAGACTTTCACTTTTTGGTGAATTGAAATGATGGGAAAATACAGAGTAAATCGAAATACAAAACTAGTCAACCAAAACGAAAAAAAAATAAAAAGATGGGAAATCGAACAATCAAAAATATAATTTTCAGATTTCAATTACCGTAAACACTCTAATAGAACGCTACCCGGACCTTCCACTTTGAACCTATATATCTCACTTCATTTGAAAGATATCAAAAAGTTGTCAACTAATAAAATATTTATGATAATATCAGCAAAATTTTATTAGTTTACCACTTTTTGATATCTCTCACAGAAAATGTGATACATGGGCTCAAATTTGATTAATCGGGTGACGTTCTATTAGAGTGTTTACGGTATATGAGGAAATAAATCCGAAAAAACGGAAAATTTGGATTTTCAGGTTTTTTTTCAGGAAACAAACTAACGTCTTCAACCTCAAGCTGAATGGGATATCTGAAAAAATTTTCAGATTTTTTTGGAATTTTTGAAATTTTGGTTTTTTTTTTGAATTTCTGATTTTGCGCATTTGCGAACCTCTAAATTTGTGGGTTTCTAAAATTCTGAATCTCTCGGAATTTTTTGAATTCCCTTTTTCTAAATTTCAGATTTTTCTAAATTTTAGGATCTCTGAATTTCTGAATTTCTGAATTTCTGAATTTCTGAATTTATGAATTTCTAAATTTCTGAATTTATGAATTTCTGAATTTCTGAATTTCTGAATTTCTGAATTTCTGGATTTCTGAATTTCTGAATTTCTGAATTTCTGAATTTCTGAATTTCTGAATTTCTGAATTTCTGAATTTCTGAATTTCTGAATTTCTGAATTTCTGAATTTCTGAATTTCTGAATTTCTGAATTTCTGAATTTCTGAATTTCTGAATTTCTGAATTTCTGAATTTCTGAATTTCTGAATTTCTGAATTTCTGAATTTCTGAATTTCTGAATTTATGAATTTCTGAATTTCTGGATTTCTGCATTTCTGAATTTCTGAATTTCTGCATTTCTGCATTTCTGAATTTCTGAATTTCCGAATTTCTGAATTTCTGAATTTCTGAATTTCTGAATTTCTTAATCTCTGAATTTCTGAATTTCTGAATTTCTGAATCTCTGAATTTCTGAATCTCTGAATTTCTGAATCTCTGAATTTCTGAATTTCTGAATTTATGAATTTCTAAATTTCTGAATTTATGAATTTCTGAATTTCTGAATTTCTGAATTTCCGAATTTCTGAATTTCTGAATTTCTGAATTTCTGAATTTCTGAATTTCTGAATTTCTGAATTTCTGAATTTCTGAATTTCTGAATTTCTGAAATTCTGGATTTCTGAATTTCTGGATTTCTGGATTTCTGAATTTCTGAACTTCCGAATTTCTGAATTTCTGAATTTCTGAATTTCTGAATTTCTGAGTTTCTGAATTTCTGAATTTCTGAATTTCTGAATTTCTGAATTTCTGAATTTCTGAATTTCTGAATTTATGAATTTATGAATTTCTGAATTTATGAATTTCTGAATTTCTGAAATTCTGGATTTCTGAATTTCTGGATTTCTGAATTTCTGAACTTCCGATTTTCTGAATTTCTGAATTTCTGAATATCTAAACTTATGAATTTCTTGGAACTTTCTGGAATTCTTAGTATTTTCGAAATTTCCTAGTTTCTGAACTTCTGGATTTTTGATTTTCGGAGTTTTTTTTTTAATTTCTAAATCTTAAAAAAATTTAATAATTCAGGAATTTCAGAATTTCAAAATATCTGGAAATACAAAAATATATTTCCGAAAGTTTCCATCTCTTCCCACTCAATTTCATAAAACCTGAATGCGTCATATTTATGCAAATTTTTAGCGAATTTAAATCCTCCACGATTTCCAAAGTCATCGAGTACTTTTGAAACTTTTTTCAATAAAATTTTTTTCATAAAATACATTGTTTTGTAGTTTCTTTCTGTCTGATTCTGTCTGATTGCTGTCATCCTAAAAAACAAAATTGACACTTTTCTAGCTTCTCTGCGTTTCTAATCTCTTTTTGTTTGTCTTTATTGAGCTCTTAAATAATATTATTTTTGTCTTCAAACTTAAAAAAAAATCATATCATGACTAGTCGAATATTCAGAAGCCGCGCTTCAAAATCTAGTTGAAAGAGCAAATTCCGTTGGGGAGGGTAAGATTTTTCGATTTTTTCTTTCTGTGAATTGTTTTTATCAAAAAACGGGCATTTTTTATCAGGAAAACAGATAAAATTGCAATTTGTGAGGAAAGTGTCGTAAGATTCGGTGCAAATACTGCAAACACCCTGTGTTGTGTAGTGCACAGTGTGGATTTACGCGGTTGCACGAGTCACAAATTGTTTGTTTATTCACCTCAAAAAGGTGTTAGAAATCAATTTTTAGTCAAATTTCTTCCCGAATTTTTATAAATTTTCTTCCAGATGTCGCGGCGAAGCACCACAGACCGCTCGGACTACAATGACAACGCGTCGAACGCCTCAAACACCTCCCGCCGACCCACAATAAATTTTCAAGAATTAATGGAAGATCTGCCAGAGCACGATCGAGAAACCGGCGAACGTCTTCGCCGTCACCTCCAATTCTTCTTCATGAATCCCATGGAAAAATGGAAGGTTCGCCGGCAGCTCCCCTACAAGTTACTGCTCCAAGTGCTCAAAATCGTCTTTGTCACCATGCAACTCATCCTGTTCGCTGAAATGCGCATGAGCCACGTGGATTTTCTAGAAGACACGACTACAGTAATGCGACATCGATTTTTAAAAGAGTGGAACGATGACCGCGACGCTCTGCAGTATCCACCTGCCGAGGGGCGCTACTCGGTTTATGACGATCAGGGGCTCTCGGAGCATCTTGGATTTTTGATTAATTCGGTTAGAGGCTTTTTGGCGGGAAGTTGAAATTCGAATTTTTGCAGTACTATGCCATCCGCAACGACTCTTTTGCCTCCTTCTCCTACGACGTTGTCAAGCATCCGGCTGACAATTTGGGGGCTCTGGGTGCTCAGATCAGCTTCGAATCCATCCCGCCTATTGAAGTATTGATCGATCGAATTTCCAATGTCACTGTGAACAATAACACTTATGATTTTGATATTCGGGAGGTTAAAGGTTTTGTAAGAAACTCCAAAATCAAGAAAAATGATCCCAAACCTTTTCCAGACACCAAACGGCTCAATCTCACAGCCCAGGAAGTGTTTCAAATCGGACAATCCGACGACACCGTCCGAGATATTTTAGCGACACGTGGCATCACATTCCTTCCAGAAGACGCGCTGAAAATCTCGACGGTCCAATTCAAGTTCCGGCTCCGAACGATCCATTACTCGCCAACTGCCGGCGATCAGAAGCCAGAGTGCTATAAAATTGCGGTTTCCATTAAATTCGATAATTCGAGGCATACTGGACAGGTTCATGTTACGCTGTCTACAGTAGTCTCGTATGTGAATGTGTGTAATGGACGGATTATTAAAGGTAAGCAGTTATGGCTGAAAATAGCCGAAAATTGTCTAAAAAGGGTTGAAAATCGACTGAAAATGACTTAAAATCGTTGTTTCTTTTTCCAGAATTCTGGCTGAAAAATGACTGAAAATGCTGACTTTTTCGTGGATTTTCAGCTAAAAATAGCTGAAAATAATTTCAAATTTCGCCTCGGATATGGCTGAAAAAGCGGACTATTGAGTATTTTGTAATAAAATTCAGGCCCTGAAAATTGAATAAAAGTTCACTTTAAAAAATCTGAAAATAGCTCAAAAATGTGTAAAATTCATCATCATCTTTCTTAATTTTTGGCTGAAAATTGCTGAAAAAACTGACTAAAACGTCTAGAAATTGAGTATTTTATAATTGAAATTCAGATCCCAAAAATTCTAAAAATTGAGTAAAAATGCACTAAAAATAATCTGAAAATCGTCTAAAATAGCTGAAAATTCATATTTTTCCTGAAAATTTCGGCAAAAATCATCTGAAATAGCTATGAAATTTGTCATTTAATGTGATTTTCTAGTTTAAAACTTGCTGAAAATGCTGAAAAGTAGCTGATTTAACGCATTTTTAATTAGACATTCAGTCCCAAAAATGCACTAAAAATAATCTGAAAATCGTCTAAAATCGCGTTAAGATTCAAAGAATTCGCTGAAAATCGTCTGAAAATTTCATTTTTCTGCAATTTTCAAATTAATTTTTGGCTGAAAATCGTCTAAAATAGCTGAAAATGGCTTTAACATTCGACTCAAAAATCTACAAATTGACCAAATCCCCTCACCGAAATCAGGTCGAATTCCAGGCGTCGGCTGGTCATTCGACACATTGCTCATCGGCGGCACCGACATCTTCGTCCTCATTCTCTGCATTCTCTCCCTGATCCTCTGTTGTCGAGCCCTAATCAAAGCCTGGTTGCTCCAGAACAAAACCAGCGACTATTTCGAGAATGTTCTCCGAAATCCGATTACTGTAACCGATCAACTCGACTTTTTGAATCTCTGGTATGTGATGATTGTGGTCAACGATGCGCTGATCATCCTGGGAACCATTGCCAAGATTTCTATTGAGTTTCAGGTAAAAAAGGATTCTATGGATCCAAAATTCGTTGCTTTTTTCAGGATTTCGACAATTCCCTCTTCACCCTAACTTCAATTTTCCTCGGAATGGGCGCCCTTCTGGTCTACGTTGGCGTCCTTCGATACTTTGGATTTTTCAGTCAATACAATGTAAGTCGAAAATTCAAAAATTCAAAAAATTTCATTTTCCCGCCAAGAGCCTACGCGATCACCAGCGTTTTCGCTGGACCTCCCGCGGCGGAGTGTACAGCAGAGCTCGTCGATATCGTAGTTTTATGAGAGTGTACTGTAGTGTAGTACAGTATCCATGGCGGGCAGCAAATGGCGATATCCAAAGCGAAGGCGCGCAGATCTTGACACGTGGCACGGATTAGGGTGGATGAGCCAGTGTAGATCATGATGAGGGCCTAAAATATACCATGGAACAGTTTCTGGGGGCGGGGGAGTGGGGGAGGTTTCTAGGCCACCTGTAGCACGGCCTGCAGGACTAGGGATAGACACACGGTGAGGGCAATGGAGAACATGGCGAGTTCAACGCGACGAGTGCGTTTTCGATGGAACTGAAATATGGAATAGTTTTTTTTGGGGGGGGGGGGGGGCGGGATCATGGCCGAGGTTTTTCTAGGCCACGCCTACCTCATTCTGGGCTACCAGCGACTGAATGGTTTTCTTGTACTTCAAAATTGTGGCAAAATTGGCGATGACACAGACAACGGAGAGGAGAATAGTGGTAAAGCAGAGGCTCGTGGAGTTTCGGGGCTGAAATGGTTTTTGAGCAATTGCGCTCTACCGAACATCCCTAAAAATTATAAGGCTAAAATCTCACCAAAAACCCCAACAAAATCGTGGGCCTATAGACCAGCTGATAGCTTGACCGGTACTCGTACAAGGGCAAGAAGTACGGTTGATAGGTCCACATTTGCCACGTGGTGAGCAACGGTAGGATGTAGATCAAACCAATGGCAGGGACGTGGAATTGTTGCCAGAACTGCAAATGTGCTCTATGGAGAATCGCTTGCGGGAGGGGTGGAAAAAGAAAAACGTACAGCGTTGCTGGAATATGGGAACACCACCGATGACATTCGATTGATACAGATCAGAGTGATACTGTAGAAGTTGGCGTAGATCAGGTAGTAGGATAGGAAGAAGATGGCTGTTAGAATGGGACCTTCTGGAACTAGACTGGGGAGGTCGACGAGGAGTCCGGAGATTGGGAGACGGGTGAAGAGCAGGTCGATGATGAAGAGAGCCACGTTCTGGAATTTTGGATACTGTAGATTCGAGATCCAACAGTCGAAGATTAAAGGTTCAAGGGCCAAGGTCCTGTGGACCCTAGGTCATATGAATTCTCTAGATGCAAGTTCCGCGGTCGCAGGTCCCAGATCACAGATCCTGGATCCTATAGCTTCTTGATTCTTTGGGATTCTAGATCCTAGATCCCAGGACCTTTAAGATCCAGATCCTAGTGGGATACTAGATCTTTGGAATCCTAGATCCCAAGACCCCTGGACCCTGTGGACCCAGATCTTTTGAGATCCTAATTCCAATAAGGATACTAGATCTTCTGTATCCGAGATCCGAGAATCTAGATCCTAGATCCTAGGTCACAGATTCCAGGACCCAGGACCTAAGATCCTATAGCTCCACTACTTACAATACAAAAGTCATTTGTAAAAATGACATTAAAGTAGCTGCTCGAATTGGACAGAAACTTGCGGCATTTGTGATATGCGATGAAGGACGGTATTGTGTAGAGGAGGTAGATTGGAAGAAGGATTTGGCTGAAAATTTCAGATCTTATTGGCTTGAATTTTGTGTCTTAACCCTGTTCCAGCGGATCCTAGATCCTCGATTATTGAATCTGGAACCCAGATCCCAGATCCCATCGATCCTAGATCTCAAATCCTTCAAAAACTCACCGAAAATCAAACGCATACTCGACATTCTTCACGGAAACTAGCTCTGGTGTAGAGGTATTGCCATGAGTGAACATCGAAGAGCTCATCTAGTGTGCTTTTTGATGTGTAGCTCTTCGACGCAGGAGCAAAGAAGTTGGAAATGAGCTAAAAGCCAATTAACACTTAAGAGAAGAAAGATAGAAGAGACGGAAACGAAAGTTAGAGCAAAAGAGAAAAGGAGCACTTTTAATTTGGGAGTTTCGATGAAGAGTGTAATTAGGTGGTGTTGATAATAAGGTCTGCGAAATTCGTCGAGGGAGTTGGAAGGAAAAAAGAAGAAAAGAAAAAAAACATAAATCAATTTAAGCCTCCTCTAGGAACGGGGGGTTTAAGAGGAAAGGAGAACTCTCTCGAATATGAGTGTTTTGGGAGGATTGCCGAAAAAAAACATAAAATGGTTTTTTGATCCGAGTAGCGGTCAAAGCACGTGCGGACCTGGATCTTTGAAGATCTTGGTTCCAGAAAGACCGTCGGAAACAGGGCTGCGTCTCTTTGATCATGTAGATCCTAGTTCTTTGATTCTAGATCCTCTGGATCCTATGGACAGGTCGGTTGCCACCGAATCCTACCCATCCGAAAAATGCAGTAATCAAAAAGCTGGATCATGTTTTCTGGTCACAGAAGCTTGAGAAGCTCATGATTAAAAAACTTGACTGGTTTTGAGTTTTGACGGGAATTCAAAAATTGGGATTTGTAGTTTTTTATTGGAAATTCTTGTTGATTCTGAAGTTGTCTCATCATATGACAAGTTGTCATTGACAACATCAAGTGCAAAACACAACTACTGATTACACGGAACTTATCAGTCATCCTGTCTGATGAGGTGTCTCTTGTCTAGCACAATACATATCTTCGGAAATTCTTGGAATTGAAAGATCAGAAAATGTTCTAGAAGTTTCTATAGTTCCCATAGTCTAGTGTCCATAGAGGCCATAGGACAAGTGTCCTTCTAACAAAGATAAACGTATCAAGGATATCAGGAGGACCTAAAACTACCGTATTGTTAACTACAGTATATAAAGGTGTACTAGTTATAACTATAGTATTGGAAGGAAGCAGAGTTCCTTGGGTACTTGACGACGGCCTAACTTTTGCAAATTGGAATTCTAGGCCATTATCTTCAAATAGCTGGAACTCGAAAATTTCAAAGATGATCTAGAATCAAAGATCTAGTCATTGTCCCACTGGATTCAACTAGAATTTCTAAGTTTGAAGACAGCTGAGGGACATTTTTGGGACATTTTGAAGCCCTACAGTCTGAAAGAATGAATTTTCTTCGTCGGCTTGAAATCGATTCAAAATCAGATGACGACGATTTTCGATTCATGTGGCTTGAATATTTCGCAACCGTTCTAAAACGTCCGGCTGCTAAATGTCCCGGAAAACGAACCGACCCACAACCTCTCTCAAGATCCATATTTTCTGCAACCAACTAAAATGGCAAATGATGGAAGAACTCATGGGCTACAAAATGGTTTAATTTGGAATACTGTATCTTATCTATGAACAAAAAATGGAGTCGTTTTTGACCTGTAACTTTGTTCCCAGACAAAATACAGTTTTCCAAATTGGACCATTTTGTAGCTCTTGAGTTCTTCTATCATTTCCAGTTTAATTCATACTTGTAAAATTCCGGTCCTGGCCCGGATCTTTGTATGAAATAGTTATGAAATTTCGAAACAATTCAAAAAATCGAAAATTTCAAAAAAAAATTTTTTTTTTTTAATTCTCCAAAATTCCCGAAAATCTCAAAATTTTAATTTTAAAAATTTACAGCAATTTTTGCTCATGATCTTTGTAGTTTGTGATTTTTCAAAAATTCGAAAATTCCGTTAAATTATAAACAACATGCCATTTTTTGGGTGTTATTTCGCCTATGGAAAATGTCTCTCTTCGTGTATCAGATGACGTTGTCGTGGAGCGAGAGAAAACACTTTAGACGCCTGCTCACACAGAATAATTAAACATCATCTTTCGCTCTCTATTTATCCTCATTTTTGACGTCTTCTGAATC